TAATGTGATAAGGTGAAATCTCGCTAATTCCAGAATTAGCCGTTTTTGTTATCGAAAATTTGTGGATAATGTCCGTTGTAGGAAACGTTTCGAAGCGTGCTTTATACTGGTCAGTTGAAGTTCACATTAGTGCAAACGAAGTGGCAGGGATGGATGAAATACGTTAGACGACTAATAATAGAGATACCTGTGTGATAAATTGAAATCAGAAAACCGTTGAGTATCGTCTAATGATCGGGCATAGAAAACGTTTTTAAGCTTTTTTTTTTTTTTTTTTTTTGAATGAACTTAGTCGAACGGAAATGTAGTTTATTTTCTCGGTCTCCGATATAACAGATACGCCACCAACTGTAGTTACTCTTGGCTAGCCTGAACTAAAGTGGTTACGAGTCATGATGTGACTAGACCTAAGAATTGTCTAACATTAAAAAAATCCGCCAATCCTAAAGTGGTACATTTATTTTGCGGCCCTTACGACGACGAATGATACACATACTTAGTTGCTCACCTGTTCAGATCAAATTTACCATAATCTGGATTTTAGCCGCAATGTTTCACAGACCACTTAAGTTCCAGACCAGCCAACTATTGTGCAGATTTACCGGGGACTTTGACCGCCCCGTGGACATCGCCGGGGACAAGAAGTCCATCCACTGCGGATGAAATGACGCTCGTTTGTCTCCCGTCAGTAGCTTGTTTTACCGTATCTGTCCTTCCAGGATGCCCGCGAGACTTGGCGCGATGGTGGTCCGCGGTTTCCGCGAAGGAGCGCGCGTCATTCGGCGAGAAGCGGAACCCGTGCGTCGCGGCGCCGCGGCGTCGCTTCGTGCCGGGAGGGCGCCGCCGGATGCGGGCCACGGCGCCCGGGGTGGAGGGGGTAGGGAAGCGACTCGTCCCAGTGACAGCTTACCTTATCCGAGCAGCTCGTTAGACGCCGGGTATAGCGGTGAGATCATTCCGTTTTGTGTTGAAATAGCGTACGTCACAGCCGATAGGGCACACCAATTGCAGTGAGCGGTAGAGCACAATGGGACCATTACACAATGGGACAAGTGCTAACCTGGGCAAAACACATTTTTAGCTGAAACTGCCTCACAGCAATGTTTCAGTATTCAGGAACATGAGTGCTCGAATCAGGTGATTGACTCTGACTCTAGTGGAACGAGGGAATAAAAGTAAACAACGACCTACTACATAAGTTTTTCTCCTGTTTATCACTGTTAGGAATATCTTTGTTTTTTAAGAAAAACATAGCATTTTCAACATTACGTACAATGATTCGTTCATTTTGTTGTTTTATGAGTGAAAAACAAGATTCTTAGTTATTACTAGTACTTTTCTACATGTACATAGTTTAGTGGAACAACGGGTCACGTTCTCAGTTCGTCCTTGGAGGTCGAGCGTTAACTGCAAGATTTCATGTTTTGTGTACGTACGTATATGCTCAGAAATGTAGTCTAAGAGTAATTTATATAATGTTGCAGAAAACACATTTCGAGATTTTAAAAGAAAAACACATTTTGAGTCTCCTGGTACAGAAGATTCGTTTCAAAACGTCTTACCATCTGTGAGAAACTCTAGTGCCTAATTGATTTTTTCCAAAATGAATATTCCTTGAACGATGTCTCGACTCGAAGTCCTACGATTTTGAAAAATATCTCTACATTTTGGGAGTACTTCATAAGCGGACTTTTCGATTTTTCTCAAAAATGGCTCTGGATTTTGAAATAATCTTATAAAGATGACGTAGGTCCAAAATTCACCGTAAGCTCTGAATTTGGGAAATATTTCTAAAGTTTAAATTTTTTAGACCCTCTCGTACTACGTTATTGAAGACACTTTTTCATTAATTCGATTTTTAATACAAACAATATTAAATCACATCATGGAGGTTTGATATTTTTAGTAATTTTTTATTTATAATAGCGAGATATTTTCTTATAATGAAAGTTGTTCTATACAATTAGTCCTTTTTATTATTTTCATGTACATTTTTTCTGAAATAAGGACAATAAAAAAACAAGATTTTTGTCAAAAAGGCTCCAAATTATTTCTTTAAATGTTTTGTACGGATAGATCTCAATGAACTGAAAAACACGACATAAACGTCACTTTGATGTTTTCTTTTGATTTGTCAAAATAAATATTTTTTTAATCTCTCACATTCTTTATATTTACATTATGGGCGTTTTATTTATACATTATTGCATTTGCAGATATAAATGCTTCAAAAGATTTCTAATTAAGTTTTTTGGATAATGAGCTCGAAATTGTGCATTTTCAGTAACACTTAAACGACATTTTGTCAAGAACGGCGGCCGAATATGTCAGTGAAAGTTCTCAAATAGAACCAAATTTTACTCTTCGATAACATTCTTAAAAAAACAGATCCTGTTTCTACTATAAGGACGCCGAAAAATTGCGAAAATATAAAAAAAAGTTCGTGTTTTTATACGCTATTTCCACAGTAAAACTAAATCATTCTGTTAATTGATGCGTGCTGTAAACTGTTTAGTTTTGAGAAAAATGTTTATTCCAGACCTCTGTTGATAGATTTTAAAGCTAAAGTAACGTTGTTTGCATTGTTGCTAGGAACGAATGGTGTGACAGTCATTCACGCTTTAGTCTCAATGCCACAAGCTATAGTGCATATGAATATTTTCAGTTTTATCAAATTATCTTTCATAACCGTAACAAATTTACAAATAGTACGGTCGATCGATTTGACCTAGTAAGACGGGGTCTTGGTGCGTATGAACTAAAGAGGTGGACACTACTAATGAATGAATAATGCTTAAGTAATGAATGAATGTTGCTTTCTCGTAAACTTCTAAGGAAGTAGATGAAGAAAGTACATTAAATTGGTTCATGGCGCACGGGGCATTTAGAATCCAACTTGTATTATATCTTCACCCTTATTCTTCCATAATCTCTTGGTGTGATAGGCAACAAGGTGTGAGTAATTGAAGCATGAAATACTTCACACAAAACAATGGTACAAGCACTGAGATAGGCAACTATATAAAGGTAGAGTACCGAGATAGGCCTTGGTTGGGTTCTGGAAATCCATTAGTGCACTTCACTGGGAAAACTAGCCCAGTACCAAGTGAATAGAAAACTAACTTGTACGAAAAAGTTTGTGCTTTTCTCTAGGACTAGTTTACTTTCTCGTATCTCTCATGAAGTCAAAGAAAGAGGTGTAATTCTGCAGGAAAAACGCAGATTTTTTGACAAGAAAAACACTTGTTGAACTCTGATAATCTAAAAACCATTTTTTGTGCTCGTGATCAAAACTCACGATTTGGGTGTCAACTACTTATTGACAACGAATTAGTAGGTTTTCTCAAAACTTGTCTGTGACCAACAATTGCGCCTTTAGCGTACATAGGATTTTTCACGAAAATCGATATTTTCTGATGTTGGGATCCCACATGTTTGAAACCTTTGGGGGATATTTTACATGACGCCCCCGGAATCTTCCAGAATCTTTCTCAAAAGGCGCTAAATGTTTTTCTTGTGACAAAAATGGTACCTATATTCATCGATATAATTTCTTGTTTGTAAATAAATATTTCTGTCAGAAAAATACTTGCCACCTTGAAAGAACTACCTTGGACAATAGGATATTAGCGTCTGAATTTTCTCAATGCTATTTTATTGCAGAACACCATTTATCTACCTCCATTTGCACTATATTCATTGACACAGCCTAAAACAAGAAGTGAAGGGGCAAATCACAATTCTGGAACCTCTGTTCCCTTCTAGCCCTCCTTTCCCATTATATTATTACCAATTATTTAGATTGTATTTATAAAAAATAAAACTTAAGTCAAGGAGAATGAAATAACTTTAACGATATAATTAAGAAATAAAACTGCTTTTACATTGAACCAATTTAAAGATGCCAGATGGTTTTGAAATCCTCTTTCCCAAATGTCATATACAATTCCCCCAATGTTTGGCTTAAAAGGGGGGTACGGGAATTATATTTACAAAAATTGTTTTATTACGCAGGGTACGGGGCCCCTTTTGAAACTTTCAGGGGGACACCCCCCCTATCCCGCCATGTGCGCATGCCAATGATTTGAACGTGACAAGCCGATGATGTGTTCGTTAGGGCCCATTACTTCCGCTGTCGCCCTCAACTCTCACTTCCGCGAGGCCCATCGTGACACGCGGAGCCCGCTACGTGCGCTTCTCAAGGATGTGGTGACGGCGAACCCCTTCCTGTCACGCACCCATAAAGACGCCGCAACAGATGCGAGGCGAAGTTCCGGTTTATTGACACTGCTAGTTGCATCCTTTGGTTTAAAACAACACTCACCATCTGATACCATAATTAACTGCTGAGTCATTGAATAAGAGGGATGCAAGAAGTAGGGTTACTAGATTGTCAAGATAATATATATATATATATATATATATATATATATATATATATATATATATATATATATATATATATGTATGTAAGCCCAAAAGGTGTCTTATTATTTGTAACGATATCATAAAGTATTAATTATATTATAAATAATATCTAATATTTCAACTATTGTGCAAAACTTCATCAATCTACATGAAACACAATTCACTGTTGTTGTTTTTTAAGAATATTTTAATTACAATTTATACCAGTCAAAGTGGGTTGGTCCGCGTCCTGATGGATGCAGACAAGACTTTCATGTGCTCCTTTCCTCATCTTCCATTCTCTTGTTCAATTCAGACATCAGTTTTACTTTTCTACCGCCCTTTTTCTTCCTCACTAGTCGTCTCTGTTTGCTAAACCCCCACCCATACGTTGGTCGTGCATGGCGACCCAGGGAATGGGTGACTTGGGAGTTGAGAAGTCTGAGCATACTTACTCGAAGGCCACCATGACGCTGGATACTTGTAGGTAGATTCGTTGTAGCTACGTTCTCCGCCCGAACCCCGGCGACTTCTGGTGACCGGTGTCTGTATTGCCTGCTCTAAACATTTACTGTGAACCCGGCCTCTGGTAGATGGTCAGTCGTCAGTTAGGGCCCATCTGCTCAATTGACTTTGGTGTAGTTCTTGTACTGAACTCCAGAGTGAGTGGAATGATTTGCGGCGGGTCAGCGCTGTGCCTTCTCTACATCTCCATGCCAGGCCAACCACTGGCACCCCAGTGGATTGTTCCCTTGTTGAACTCCATGGCGGGTGGGGTGGACGGATACAAATCACGGTCCCAGAAACGCAACCAAAATTACTTCCTCCGCCCTTTCCTGTACGGCAAAAGATGTCCAGAAAGAACTGTTGACATGAACAGTTCTTTTGTCACGTAAGATTACACACCAAAAAAGTCTCGTTCCTCCTAATGGCATGCACTGAGGAAGGTTTTGTTGTAAAAACGAATGTTATCATTATATCTGAAGCACGCACTGAGCAATTTGACAAAATCCAGGAACGAAGCAGATTGCCGACCTCCAGGTGGTAGTGACCACTCATCCAACCCTCAATCTCTGCAAGGTGGTAAACCATGAGGGCATCGCTTCGGAGAGCGGTGAAGACCTTTCTTCGAGACAGGGGGCGGTGTCGGATCCAGGGAGGGGAGGCATGCCCCCCCCCCCGCCAGGACCAATTTTTTATTTGGCAAAATTGGTTTAAGTATTTGTTAGAATTAGGTTTAAAAAATATTGTATAGTATCATGTATATACTACAAAAATAATATTCAATATAACAAATGTTTATCATTAAACAAAAATATGATGCTCCTTCCCCATCAAAAAAATAAATAAATAAAAAAAAAATTCACCCGTGGACAGGGGGCACTGAGGTGCACAGAATCAAAGGGAAGGAGAATAAAAAAGTGATCATTATTTTGACCCTGATTCGTTTGTTTGCCCATCCCTTCTGAAAAAGACCAGTTTTGAATTTTACAACTTTCACATGCAGCAGTACATGCCTAAACCTTTGCACTCCTTTAAGGGTCAAAAGTTGGGACATACCCAACAAGATGCATGTCAGAGCACTCCTTGTGCAGAAAATGTGGTACATCAATGTGTGATGTGCAACCCCAAGCTATTCATTTATGCTCAAAAATTGTTACTGCCACTGGGGTTCCCAATGCAGTAATGTCAACCCCCCTGGGATCTATGAAATTTTGTAGAAATTCAATGATGATCAAGGGGGTTTACTGAGGGTCGATATGAATATGAGTTGGCAACTGATTAGTATAATGAAGATTCTGTTGATTAAAAATAACATTAATGAACTTGATAATTAATTATCCAGTTCATTAACATTCAATAATTTTTCTGATATAAAGCAACAAAACCTACACTAATAAATTACAAATGCGCAACTCTTCTTTCATATATCTTTCCGAATTAGGATGTTAGAAAACTAAAGAAATTATAACTAAGGATTCACAATGAAAATTAAAAACTCAGCTACTCTAAAGTGGCACCGTTTTCAATTATTGCAAATCAAGATTTTTCAAGAGTATTGGAATATGAAATTGTTATTTTACAGGCATTTAAATGCAATTCTTTTTTTTATTAGTATGGGTTCTGTATATTATAGAGAAAACGTAAGGGGGTTGACGAAGCAAACAAATTTCTGAAGAGCAATTGATGAAAGAAAGAGGTTGGGAATCCCTGATTTATGTTGAAGATAAAATGACATGGTTGAAGCAAAAACTTCAATATTAACTTTTTATTTATCCTTTCTGTATTATCTTTGTTGTCTGAGAAATATATCTGGGGCTTTTCTGTTTCAGATACCAGTTGAAATTTTACGGCAATTGAGTGATATAGAGAATGCTACATATTTTCTGAACAACTTTGTTGATACCGAGTCACTTACTGCTCATTCTCCAACAGACATTGGACATGAATTAGAGAGTAAGTAAATATTGACATTAAGAAATAAAACTACTGGATATAAAAATTTATTTCACAGATTTAATTAATAAAATAAGATATTAATAAATGCATATTTTTATAATGGTAATACAAAACACAATTTTATAAAATATATTCAGTTTTCAAAACATCATGCCATACAAATTTTACTTTATTATATTCTACATTAGACTACTAATTGACAAAGTATTTGAAAATAAAGTTTTAGATAGTGACAACTGTCATTTATGCAAGATCTACCATAACTATTTAAATATTTTCTAACATTTCAGTATCTATTGATTTGGCCCCCATGTTTCAAATTAAAATATCACAGGATATATTCATATTCATATTGTTATGAATAATAAGAATAATGATCAGAATGTTCCAAAATCTATCAAAAGCACCACAACAATATCAGCCACCTAGGAACTAATAGTTTAACTTAATAACTAACCCCTAAAGCAAAGAAATGACTTAAAAAAAGCAGTCTGAACTCAAAATTACATGAATTTTTTTTACAGAAATTCATTTTAGGACACTACAGTTGAATCTCAGGTACACATGTCAGTCAAGTTCTTTTGTTTGTAGTTGTTTTTAACTTACTAAGATTCTTCAATAGACTGACTGGCAAATACTAAAAATAAAATATCTTTTTCATAACTATATGAAATGAGTAACATACAAGAAGAAGAACAAGGGTAAGGAATAGAAAACTGTTTCTGATTCAAAAAGGTTCATCAGCAACCTTTGCAAACTCTAGAGACAAATTTCTTCTGCATCGAATTGTATCTTCATAAATTATGAGGCAAATTTCAAATTCATTTGCACAATTAGCTCCTGACGGACTGTTATATTGAACATGTAATTTACACAATCGCTCCCATTTCATGGTATCTGATGCTAACTTGAGATTTTTTGATGATGTAGGAGATTGCTTTGTCCTACAGAATTGCAGTGCACCTCGTGCATCAAAATATTTGGAATTATTATGCATTAAAATTGGTACACAATCTCCCTGGCCTTCCTCCACTTTTGCAGCAACTGGAGCACTACACATGTTAAGAGCTGAATCACCCATCATCATCACATCTTCAGGAGGCTCGCCTTCAGCAAGATGGATACTTTTCTTCTTGTCACTAAAAGCAAGACTTTTCATTTGAGCTATATTTCTTTCCTGTGTCACATGAAAGTCATTTTCTGAAAATATAACATCAGCAGAAAGAGTTTTATTTGGTGTTGTCATAGAGCTGCATGAACCTTCCGAACTGCATAACTGTGGAGTTCCAGGTTCCACAGACATCAAAGAATGAGTAGTAAGAGCCATTTCCCTAGCTACAAATTCACACACATCTTTCTTTCCTTTAATTGTTCGGCCAAACCATTTCAGTATCACTTGGTTTGATACATAATATGGGAAGAGCTCACGTTTATTATCTAAAATGTTGCAATACTGTTCTGCCACAGAAAGTGCGGATGTTTTTTCATCAGCATATGCCATTTTCGTTACAGACGTTCAACAGAAACATTCATCAAACAAACCTAGGGGCAAAAACAAACATTTAATATAAAAAATAATATTAGTTACAAATTATATTAGGTGCTAAATACTGGTCTCTCATTTAATGATATTTGTTTTTGTTTTCAGATCGTTTCGGAGCAGTTGATGAAAGAAGTAAGTACTCATAAAATAAAAAAAATTTTGTTGTTATTTCAACATGATTTCAAATGAATAACAGAATACACTCCACATAAAATAGAAAACGTTTTAGAAGAGAACAAAGACGAAACTGGACAATGGTAAAGGTTCAAATCATTTATGATATTTAGTAAAGCACATGATATATCTCATTAATTAAGACAAGTAAACAGCACATTCATAGATTTGACTGCTGGGACAAAATACACAATTAATATATAAAACTACAATTGGTTTTAAAATTTGGAGGAACACAATATTTTTTTCTTCACTTCCATTGCAGTTTGAATCATAACAGCAGACAATATGTTTAGGGGAGAAAAAAGTATTAGATTTTTTTTTTTTTTTTTAAATAAAAAGAATAAATGCAAACAGAACAAAAATAGTTGGATTCAAGGCTCCAAAATCATAACCATTCATTATATGAAAAAGTAAATTTGAAACCCAAAATTGCCGTTACAAGGAATGTACATCTCACCTTTCCATTAAGAGTTTGTTTTCCATCAAAACAAACAATATTAAACACATTGGGGGACATGACAGAATGAAATTCACTTCAGAAAAACACTTTTTCATTCTATTCATTAAATGTTACCAGATTGAAAAATAAAACCACAAGTATACATAATAAAACAAAACATAAACAATACAATTAATATTCAGGAGGCCAAGTTTATTTGTTGTCTCTGCTAACAGAAATAACGTTCTTCAGCATGTTCTAAGATATTCAGAGGTCTTATTTAACACATTGCAGAATCCATTCTGACTGCTAAAGCTGCTCTCTGCCAACCACAATTGGAATTGGTTTCTTTAATGGTAACAACAGATCCTTCAATGTATTACTACCCAACATGTACAAGAATCGAAAGATGTGGAGGATGCTGTGGGAGTCATTTAATGACCTGCCAGGCAGTAGAATCAGAAATAGTAAACATGAAGGTATATTCTTCTTCTACAATAGCACAATTGTAACCTTTTCCACTAAAACTCTTCATAAATTTAATTGCCTTCAGCATCATGGATACAAAATGATGAATTACTAAACAAACAGTGGGGACAAACAATGATCTCTGCTGCACCTCTGTGTGTTTTAAAATAATACTTTAATTTTAACTAAAAATTCATTGATATACTAAAGAAATAATATTATTTGACATTCAGTGAATAACATTAAAATGAATGATAAAACATTTTAATAAATATTTCCAAAAATCACCAAATTCATATACTGATATAGGGAGGAGTGCATTGTTACATTTGCGTAGCTTATGGAGACAATTTTACAGTGTAACACCTAGCTTGTTTCATTCACTGGACCCTTAAATATGAATATCATATCTCCCATTAAATATTTTACAAAAAGTGTATCAGTTCAGCTACATTTTTGCCTCCGAAGGGTAATAGACATTACTGTGAGAACAACTTAAACTATAGTCATTATTATTTATTATATTAACCTTTCTAATAATTTTAATTATATTTCTTGGCAACATTAATATTTTGATTGCTAAAGAATCACAAAAGGTTTGGTTTGAAATTTTTGTGCTTCAATATTCATAAAAAAATCTTCACTTTTACAAAGTATAAATTTTAATTACAACTCAGTTTGTCAGTCGTTTAACAATAACTCTTTGCTGTCTTCACTCAATACAATTGTAAGTTACACTAGCCCACAGTCCTCTAGGCAGGTAGAAAATTACTTTTCTCCCCCTCTCTCCTTCTGTGAGGTTGTGCACTTATTTTGTTGGTACTAGAGAAAGGCAAACATTCTCTTTACGCAATATTTTATAATATGTTAAGCCACTATCAACACTTCAATGCGGAACCTAAGTTTTGTGCAATAGCATTCCATCGTGGATAAAGGGAAAGTGTCTGTTTGAGTCACTCCAGTACCAGGCATCCTCTTGAATTTAAAGCAATTCTCCTCTCCACATGGCATCCCACATGAGCAGAAAAAATTCCTAGTCATCTAGATGGAGATATGCTTAAATAGAAGTCTCAAGATATCTTCTGGCATGGATGGATTAATTTTCAGATAATACAAATATGTTCAAATTATTAAGCTCAAATGTACCTTTCTTGGAATTTTATTTTCCAAACAATTACACACATTTTATACCTACTATCAATAGACATAGCTGTCAAATCTTTTTGAAAATTCAAAATTTGAAGATGTAATTAAGGAGTTTGGACTCATATGTTGCATAAATAGAAATTAATATGCAATATAATGCATATCTCTCTCCCACAAAAAAAATCAAATTGAATATAATCTTGAACAGGACATTACCATTTACATATAAATGCAACAACACTGATATGTTATGTTAGAATGATGAGGTTCTACCTCACTTTGAGCAAATTTTACAGGAGAGTGTTTTGAAAGTTTGGAAATGTCCCACAGGGATAAAAATGGAACAATGTAATTTTGTTTATAGACAATGACCATTTCCGCAAGTCTGATCTGAAAACTGTTTTAGCATATTGTAGATTAAGGGAAACTTTGAACATGTAAAAGTATAATTTTTGCCAAAAATGTGAACTTATAGAGTGTAGACTTCTGCAGACAGAGTTAGTAGCTATTTGGCTGTCTGTGAGATGCTGTGTCGTCGGGCACAGGTGCCAACGATTCAGCCACCATTCTGCAACCGTCCTCAGAGCATTTTGCCCTGAGGAAGGTTGCAGAATGGCAGCCAAAACGTTGGTGCTTGTGCCTAAGATGCAGCTTTTCTCAGACAACCAGTAGTTACAATAGTGGGTGAGTGAGCCTTGTTATCCAGAGGCAAAAATGTGCCCAGAAATATTGAAATTGATTTATTTTATTCTCAAACATTTACTATGCGCTTTCTCACCATGAACTTCACTATGCTCTTTCCACCAGAAATTGTTATTCTTCATTTGTGCAATTTCTAAAATTGGTATGAATCTCAAATCTTCAACAGATCTGAGAGAGCAAACATTACCACTTATTCTTTATAAAAAAAATTATATTCTTTACTCGTTTACAAACCACAAATACTGTTGCAGTTGTAAAAATATTACAGACAAAACATTGTTTGTCTAAATTAAAAGTGCAACTGCCTTTTACATAACAATTAAGTTGCATTGGGGAAAGAAATACCTATACCTAAAATTTGAATTGCATATTTTTTTCCCCAATATACAAAAATAGATTGTGTGCCCAAATATGTTAAAAATTTCAATTGGATGTCTGTCTCATTATATATGGACATGTGCTCGTTTCCAGAATAACTCTACAATCCCTGCAGTAATTTCAACCGAACTTGTGTGGTAATGAAAAAGAATGTGAGAGTAAGTTTGGAGGAGGTTATAGGAAGGAGGGGAAAGAGTTTACAAAGAAAATTGATTTGCAACTCACAAAACATGGTGCAGATAGAGTGAGACAGACAGTGAGAGTTTCAGCCCAAGAAATAATCATAATCAAAATCATAATATTGATTTACCATTTTTTCTTTTACTTAACACTACGTTCAGAACTCTAAAACTTACTAATAAATAATGATTGCTGTTCTTTGGACAAGAAACACTGATGACACTCCTCTGTAACGATCATATAATAACTGCGGCAATTTAAGTCAACAAAATTTGTTTTTCTCCTTTTCAAATTGTGCCTTGTTTTACAGTCTCTTAATGCGCAAATGAAAATACAAAAGTGGACAGCACTACTTTGACACGCATTGAATGTTTGAAAAATGAAGTAGCTTTTAAATGTACTTGTCTAGGATGCTTTGTCTCCCGAACAGCCTTGCCCACATTAAAGCCGTTGTGCTGCAACCTTCCTCAGGGTGAAATGCCATTAACATCAGTGCCTAAGATATGGTATCTCCCAGTAGCCAAGTACATACTGACCCTCGATGTGGAAGCCCATGCTATCGTTTGAAGTAACTGAGTTCATAACCAGAAATATAGGGTTGCAATAACAGATGTTACTTTGTTTTTCTAAATTATATTTTAGCTACAAACCACAATATTCAATACGTAAAAAAATATAAATGTTCTCACAAATTAAATTTTACAATTTAAACATTTTAAAAAAGTATTTCATTAAATGCTTAAATAGTAACTAAAAATTAAATCTTTCATAAACTTGTAAAAAGATTTAAGAACACAAAACAACCACCCCTTAGAGGTATTGAACTTCTCACATGAAAATTTGAGCGTAAGCCTGAATTAATTTTTATCATTATACTAATTTCCCTACCTATTATTATATTCGTGAATTTAAATTTTTCCCCATAGTATTAATTTAAACAAGCTCAAAATAATTGAGAACAGATAGTTTGTACATTTGTTTTCTCTGTCGACTTCTATTTCATTCTACTGAATCTTTCCTGCTGAATTCCTTTCCAAAACCAATCTGGTTTACTGGTGCTTACACATATACATACAAGATGCATTACCTACGCATTAACACATGTTATCAAATAATTTTGCTTTGACTAGATTTTGTCACGAAGTATGTAATTCATCATTCTGTATTTCATGCAATTGAAGAAAATCTGTATAATGTACATAAAATGAATGTGAAATATTTAATTTAAATTGTGATCTCCACATTGAGTAATATTAACTTTTCAATAATTGCAGGTCATAGTGACACAATATGTAGGGAAACCTCATATGATCTACAAGGGACATGAGATAGTACCCCTAGAACGACATACAAAATGTAAATGTGACTGTATTAAGAAGGAAACGGTAAGTAGAGTTTTCCAAGGTGGAGAGAAATTTTTATACACATGAATATTCCAAAGAGAATGTTTTCAAAAATAACAGGAAAACTGCAGTTTGTTCAGCACATTCACTTATGTCCTCATAAGTAATGAACACTACAAAAAAATTAAACATTATTCAAAAATAAAACATTTACACAGCAAAATGTAAATAAGAATAAATATTTCAGGATTGCAATACGCTCCAAGAGTTCCACAAGAATGACTGCGAATGTGTTTGTATAAATGTGGATGAACAACAAAAGTGCCAATTACAAAGTCACAATAAACAATGGGATCCCTCTACTTGTACCTGCAACTGCAGAGAGTCAAGGGATTGTAATTCTAGTAGTTACTACGATCTTGATTCTTGCAGGTAAAACTTTTGAAAGGATAACACAATTTTTAATTGTATATTATAATTAATCACAATATCTTGTAATTTTATTTTATTTTTTCAACAGCTGTATACAAAGATCTTCCTCAAGAAATAGAAGAAAAGATGTATATTTCTATGAGCCAACACTGTGACAAATAAAAGTGCATTAAAAAGTTTTACCTACACCCTTCTTTGCATTTTAGAACATTCAAGACTGAACTTCATAATGTACCAGTTTTACTTAATATGTATATACTTAATAGAAACACCATTCTAAAATGAAATAAATTGTTTGTCAGTTAAAAAATGAAAATAATTCTGGAAATATTGAAGGGCACAAAATTAAAACACCAACTTCCTCTCATTCCTCTCCTCTTATGAAATCTTCCCACCTGTGAAACATTCACATTAAATTATAATATTTGCAGTTTTAAACATAAACATGTAGCATGAGAATTCAGTGATCTGTAAGCAGTTCCATTTTTTTCATATCAATTGAAATTACACAAGTCTAGCATATGTTAGTTATTTCATGACAGTTTTCATGGCTACAAAAACATCATTAATGAATGTCTATAAAAAGCGTTGTTCAATGTTTAAAAACTTACTAAAAATTATCAGGTGTTTTTTTCTTATCCAGCATTCTGGTTACTTTCTCCACTGATACCAAATACAAACAGGCCGAACTGTTATAACTATCCATTTGATGATTCAATTTACGCAATTTTTTTATGTTTGAATTCATTTCCCCTGAAAAAGTAATTTTAATTACGATTTACTTTGACAAACATATTACACAATAAATTAAATTACTGTTGATAATCAACATACCAATGCCATCAGATAAACTTTGCAAATTTGATGTTATAACACTGGGATTTTTCTGAGAATAGTCCATTATTTAGTTGACAATACCAATTAAAAACCACATCAAATAACAAATGGCACAAAGAAACAATACTTTCCAGCGTCCATGTGAGTTGGCGTCGTTCTCCTTACTGACGTTCATTTGTCTTAATTGAACTTTCTACCAACCTTGAAATATAACATGAAAGAAACAAAGTGAACACGAAAATCACGAAACAAATTGACTACAAGACATATTAAAATATTTTTAATAATAGCATTATGTAATTGATGATTCTATACACCTTTAATTAAAAATTAAAATACTGAAAATGTGCCTAAATAAATTCTATGGTGATATTGGAATAAATCCTATATTGGAACTCATTTTTCTTTTGTTGGCTATTTGCTGTCCAAAGAAGTTACAAAAGTAAAAAGATTCAGGAATTAAACCTTATATGGCCGCTACCGTATCTTCTGTGTGCCGGCGGCCATAACAATCGTATTTCCAGGAGAGGCAAGGAGAGGTTAGCATTGGGTTGGGCGTGTGTATTGTTGCCAATCACGATGGTAAGATTACGAGGCTGTAGAATTCGCACTTCTTTTACCGACTGTGTAATTTGGATCATTAATAAGTATTCTTGGATTACGGGGTTCTGATTTGTTAAATTTTCTGGACAGGTGTCATGCTGGCTTTCACGTGATTTTTATGAAATGTAGCTGATCACGTTTCTGATCATTATAAAGTGGCATTTTGATATTGCAAATAACAAGATAGGTCACAATATTTAGGAATTATGTTCTTTAAATTGATAAATAAAATAGCAATGAATTTTCTTATTTGAACAATGTGTGGGTGTACCTCAATAGGATTGTAGATTTGATAGCACTTGAAAATTCCATTTTCTTGAATTTGGGGGTATCCCATTGATTGAATAGAAAAAGGAAATGTTGCTTGTAAATACTTCTATTTGGGGCAAATGGATAAGGATTGTTCAACATTTTTGAAAGATGCCTTTTACTTTGTTTTCAATGTAATGATTTAAGATCTGAGATTTACAAAAGAAAGTTGTAGTGTTTGGTAATGTAATATGTTTTGACTAATCCACAGTAGAAATAAATGTGTTTATAAAAAAGGAAAATTGTGCCATTAATTTTTACATAAATTTACAAGAAACTTTCATACACTGTTAATTAATATATTTTTATCAATTTTCTTTAAATGTATTTGGTATAATTTGTGCATTTGAAATCATTTGAAGGTATCCTTAAACCCAGTAAGAATTTTGAAACATGAAGCAGAAGAAGAAAAGGCTGAAACAGCCCGATTATCAAGCTTTGTGGGTGCTGTTGCGATTGGGGACTTGGTGAAAAGCACACTGGGGCCAAAAGGAATGGACAAAATTTTGGTATCACAAGGTCGCGGTGAGGGTCAAGTAGAAATAACCAATGATGGTGCTACAATTCTGAAAGCTATTGGTGTTGATAATCCTGCTGCCAAGATTTTAGTGGACATGTCGCGGGTTCAAGATGATGAAGTTGGTGATGGAACAACATCAGTTACTGTCCTAGGTAAGTCTGTCGTCAAAGAATTATAAAGGTATAATTGAAAGTTCATTTAGGAAAGTTTATTTTATATTAAATCATTTAATTTTATTACAAGAGTCTTGTATTATTTTAGTACTATCTTGCTAAAAATTTCAATTTGGTGTAATGATGAGATTTTATACAACTGAATTTTTACTTTGTGATTTTGAAATAAAAAATTAATGTATAAAGTTCATAGAAGGGTGAAAAGTTATCATTGCAATTACCTATATTCCTGTCTTACTTTGTGCATTGAAATTTATATCTTCATTGCTCCATCCAATGTTGGAATTTCATTACAAACAGGGCTGTTGTGTGTGAGTTAAGTGATAATAGTACAAAGATCTTAACTGATATTTATGGTAACTTCCTCTCAAAAAACTTCCAACTTTAATCTGACTTGTTTCCAGTAATATCTGTTCAAATAACACAATGAAACATTTTGTACTTATTTGAGTCAAGTTAATAAGGCCAGAATAGAAGTTTTTGAATTAGAACAGCTCAATATTTGGTATAATTGTCTCACGTAGGGACAACAGGTCCATAATGGCAGGAGAATCTTTTCCTGTAAAATGAGGCCAGTGTGTATTTAAATGGATGGTACTGTTTCACTGTCTGATGAGCTATCAAGTTCTTTTGGCACTCAGGCTCACTTTTTTAGTGTCAGGAAGTCCCAAAATACTTTTCTGCAGAAAAATCTTGTTTTACGCAAGTTTCTCTTGCAACATAGTAGTATGAGAAAGTTAAGAAATATAAGTAAACAAGATTTTATCAAAATTAGGTCAAAACATTTTCTCAATTAAAAAAAAAAAAATTATTATTTTTTCCCGCTTGTAGTAGAGCAGTTTGCTCAATAATATGACATTGGTATTATGTTCATTAAAATCTCAATAATTTTTAATATTGCAAAAGTTTTTGATGTGGTGGGGCCATTTTGTTGTGTTGGTATACCTAAGGAGATAAAAGCTTTGATCATTTCAGTTCAATTTCTTATGTTATTATATATTTTTTGTCCTTCAGTGTTCAGTCCTTTTAAATCATAATCTTTGCAAACCATGGTAATCCTAAAACGATATATAAAAGTTTTGGTGGTGTGTGTTGCTCTGTATTGCACGTTTTGTAATACTTTATTATTTTACCAATTTTCTTGATATTTATTTAAAAATAAAACAGTAAATTTTTTGAGTGCACAAATTCAGAATTGCATACTTATGACACAACGTGCACCATGCGATGATAGTCAGGTGCACATGGTCTGTTTGTGTGTAATGTCCTTCTGCGCTATGTGTTGTGACAAGTACACTTTAGCGCTACTTTTATATGTAGAAAGTATCAGTGATGGTGTTTCCTGATCTCTGATCCCAATTTCTGAGACATAATGGTTGTCGCAGAAATGTAGCACTTCAAAGAAAATACTATAGTAATTGTTTGCTGTTCATTGAGTTCCCTCATTTGTAAGATGGTTATCATTTCTCTCAAGGATAAAAATGTACTCTTAAAAGATTAACCTAGTGAACTAAGCATTATTTATTTTTAAAATTGATTTAAGGAGTGACATGAAGCCCTCTCTCTCCCTTGTTAATTTGGCAGTACATTTGACCCATTTAGCAATGACCTAATGTCTTTGGGCACCTTAAGAAAATCGAAGTATATTTTGGAAACTGTTCAACCTAGTGCTGCAAAATTTTAGGAATAGCTTGATGGAAATGTTTTAAGTAATTGCAAGTATACTTACATATTTTGAATAGCTTTTGTAATTTATAGCATATATGAGTAAAAATCAAATTTGTATATTATTTATTCTGTGCTTTTATGCAGAAATCCTGAAGTATGAAACTTACGCCACTCCTTACTGCACTCCTTTTGCTACCATATATTCACTATTTCTTAAATGATTTCCACCAAAAAATTGTACATTGTGATTAGAATAGTTTCATAGAGTATTGGACAAATATGTTAAAAAATGTAATTTCTCAGAAATCAGGCATGAAGTTAATCCTTCCATGCAATATATGTCAGGGCAATCCATGAAGTACCTTTGAGATTTCTTAAATACTGACCCATTGATTTTCTTTATTTGTAATTTAAGTTACTTTCATACATTTAAATTATTTCTTACAGCTGCTGAATTATTACGAGAGGCAGAAAAATTAATAGACCAAAAGATTCATCCCCAAATTATTATAGCTGGTTGGAGAAAGGCTGCTCAGATTGGGCGTAATGCTCTCAATGGTGCATCGTCAGATAACAGGTAATGAATGATGTTCCTTAAAATTTCTTGCTTTTACAACATTTCACTGAAACCAACTAACCCACAAAATGGATCAGTTCTTGGAAAAACAACAGTCATTTGGATTCAAGGAATCAAGCAAATACATGCTGTTTGGTTTGATGACCGACATTCGGCAAACTTTGTGAAGATGCAACACTGGGAATAAACAGGTCAAGAATATGGGTGTATCTCTTTTATTGTACTCGAGTCATCATACCATTTTGAATTTCTGATTTTAATCAAAAACTTGGTTTTTGGGATTCAGTAGCTTAACAATAGTTTGTTTTGAAACTGTTCCAAGTGGTTTTCCTATCACTATCATTATATATCACTAAAATATACTATAAACATATTTCATTAAAACTTACTATAATGTAATTCCCAAAATGTATTAACAAATCAGCAGTTTGTGTGAAACTAGAAAATTTACTATCTTATTTATTTTACAATGTAATAGGCAATTGTCCAAATAAGAACAAAAAGAACTGGATAACTCATATTATTTCTCAATATGTCACAATTACTCTAAGTACACTTAACTTTATATGAAGTTAATGTAACTTCTTTTGAGGATTAAACCATGGCATGAAATTTTGAGGATTTTTACAAACTTTTTCATTTGGTAATGTTTTCAGCTTTGTGTAAAAAAAAAAAGCATGTCTGTTTTGACTATGGAAACAATTGTAAATGCTGTTTTGAGATCCTTATTACAATTTTTCTGAATACTATTTACTAAGTAAAATTTGATAAAATGTTGGGATAGTAGAATACCATAATCACGTTTTAAATAGCATAGGAATAACAAAAATTTTACTACTACAAATAGAAAATATTATCATTTTCCTTATTGTTTTCAGTGCTAATGAAAGCAAATTTCATGAAGATTTATTGAACATAGCTCGAACTACTCTCAGCTCTAAAATATTGTCCCAACACAAGGAATATTTTGCGAAATTGGCTGTAAGTGCAGTCTTACGTCTGAAGGGATCTGGCAACCTTTCTGCCATTCAGATAATTAAAAAGACTGGAGGAACATTGGAAGATTCTTTCTTAGATGAAGGTTTGTTTTCTTAGAGTACTGCTCCATCCTTGTAATAAAAGTTCCATTCATCAGCAAGTTAAATTTCAAATTTATTTATAGGCTTCCTCTTGGATAAGAAGCCTGGGCTCCACCAACCTAAAAGAGTAGAAAATGCACGCATTCTTATAGCCAACACTCCCATGGATACTGACAAAATTAAGATATTTGGATCACGTGTACGGGTCGATTCAATGGCTAAAATAGCAGAACTAGAACTTGCAGAGAAGGAAAAGATGAGAGATAAGGTCAACAAAATTCTGAAGCACAACATTAATGTTTTTATCAACAGGTATTCTCTTGTTTTGCAATATAGTGCTCTTGAATGGATGTATAAAGTGTTAATGTATTTAATTCATTTATTTATGTGGATAGGCAGTTGATTTACAACTATCCTGAGCAATTGTTTGCTGATGCGGGTGTGATGGCAATTGAACATGCAGATTTTGATGGTATTGAGCGTTTAGCATTGGTTACTGGGGGTGAAATTGTGTCTACATTTGATCATCCAGAACTTGCAAAGTTGGGTAAATGTGATGTTATTGAGCAGGCAAGTAATTACTGTTAAATTTTTTAACTGAGGTGAGTTGGCATTGTTGTAAAAGAAGACATTTTTTCTAGGTGATGATTGGAGAAGATACTTTGTTGCGATTTGGAGGTGTAGCTCTTGGTGAAGCATGTACTGTTATCATTCGTGGTGCTACTCAACAGATCTTGGATGAAGCTGAACGCTCTCTACATGATGCATTGTGTGTTCTTGCAGCAACTGTTAGGGAGAGCCGTATCGTGTATGGAGGAGGTTAGTGGATGTCTCCAAAATTATGTACTTTGTAAATATAATGAAATGAGCTTGTCACATCAAATTTGTGTATGTATAATACAGGTTTGTTACTTGTCATATTTGTCAATACAGTATAATACAGAGTAATTGAAAATAAATTTTCTTTGTGGGAGATTCTTTTAAAATTTTAAAATTAAGAGGGTGTCGGTAAAACTGGGGGTAGTATTAAAATATATACAGAGAGAATTTTAATTAAGAATTATGTAGTTCCCCTTTGAAATCGCTAGATAGCTTGATAACTGTGTTAGGTGGATAAATATACTGTGTTGTTGTTGTTGTTGATGTTGTTTTGAACTAAAATTGTTCTGAAGTTCTTAGACAGTGATGCAATATGTCAGGGTAAATATAGAAAAGGGAAAGGAAACATGAAATGAGAAGTTTGGTTCATTTATATTAACTTTTAATTTCTGTTGGAGTTTCTGAGAGACTTGGGTTTACAATTCATCTAGTAGGCACCATATGCTTTCTTAGGAAACAATTGTTTATGTTGGTTTGTTGCAGGTTGCAGTGAAATGCTCATGGCCTGTGCCATTCAGGCAGAAGCTGCCAAGACTCCAGGCAAAGAATCTGTTGCAATGGAAGCATTTGCTCGTGCTTTGCAAATGCTGCCCACTATAATTGCTGACAACGCAGGATATGATTCAGCTCAATTGATCAGTGAACTCCGTGCTTGTCACTCTCAAGGATCTTGTACAATGGGCTTAAGTAAGTTAATTCAAAAGATTTTTGAAAGGAGTAAATGCATGGTCCTTGTAAGCAGGGGCTTATTTTTAATTTATTATTCCATATTGCCATTATTTAATTTATTTATTCCTTATTGTCTTATTGCAGTAAATTCAATTCATTTATTTCATTTGTGTCTGACATTTTTCTTATTTATAAAAGATAATTATGCAATATACTGATGCACACGTACATATTCTGACACTCTTGGACACAGTCACTGTCACTGACGCAGACTGATGCTCTGATACACACTCTAAAAGCACAACTTTTTGAGCATTAAAGAAGAGTGAAACTCAGAAAACTGACTCCTTGATGGTGTGTCAAACAAACTTGTTTTTAACATCAAGAATTTGTACTGACGTGGCATCTGAGAAACAAAACTATAAAACCGTGTGAGAGTAATGAATCTTACATCCCGTAAAACTTCTTACACGTTTTTCAGGGGACTGAAGGGGAATAATGTGTAAGTGAGAAAAACGCATAATTGAAATTAATAATTGAGGGAAATAAAAACTCAATATTTGTACATTATCGTTTCACCAGTTTTCCCAGTTCTTTAACAATATCTTCTTTATTGCCACTCTCCCCAACGATTTTTTAAAATTTTTATTTTATCTGGTATTGAAAGGGGTTGCCTTTTCCTAACACTCTTTTTCATATAATATCACGGTCACAACAACAGATATAAGACAAACTATATTTCGATATGAACACGGCCGCAAATTTCAATGTAGGTCAGCTTGGAGAAAATATCTACTGAAGGTCATCATTAAAGAAGTCTCCCTTGAGGGGGGGTAGTGGACACACAATGGGGACCTTGAGAGACTTTCACTACGGAAAGGCTGTGTCTTGTGTGGGGTACAATTGGTGGTGGCGACCCACGTCGGGTTGCTTTGGTGTCAAGCGTAGTGTTGCTTGAGATTCCGCGGGTCAGTGGTGTTCTACACGGGCGACAGGAAGCGCATGACTGCCACAACCTGGCGACCCACTTTTTGTGGGAAAGCAAACAGTTTCATTTGCTGCTTGTGCCATGCAGTTATCGAACAGATCTTGTATGTTGTTATGGTGAGCAAAGGACCTTCGGAGACTGGGACAGTCAGTGTACGCACTGCACTTCTTGGTCATCTGCGTCGTTACTCTCTCTTGGGGATGCCTTTGACCTTCCCTCGGATCTAGCCATCGCCTCCTGAGATCTTCAAAAAGCTCTCGTATGCACCCAACTGAAATTTTTCGAAGTTCTGTTGCTGGAGATGGTCCGGGAGCCGGTTTTGCACTACTACCCCAGAGGCTCGCAAGGTCTTGGCTCCTCAACTAGGCTGAGTTAGGCTTCTGTATTACAAATTTCATTAATGTGAAGTCCCCTCAGAGACCGAGGGAGTGCTGTGGAGCATGCCGACTAGAGTAACATGCAAGTTGCAGGGCTCCCGAAGCAGGTTGCACCATGCTTCAACCGGGATAATTTGAACCATATACAGTCTTAAAGGGACTTTTATTATGAACATATAAGTGTGAAAAACGTATAAATGTAAAATGCATAACTGGTATAATTTTGCATGGGAATGATAAGAATATCCAGAAATTAACAAAAAACCCTGAGAAACTTATAAACGGGGTTTCACCGCACATCGTTTTTGATATCGTTTAGCTCATAAAAGGGAGTATATCTTTTGAACCTTACTCGAACCATTTTATGAGTAATTTCTGTGCTGCCAGTTGCTGGTGGTTGATCGATACGCATGGGCAATCAGACTTCACCTTACTTACACCTCCCTTCCTTGTTTTTGCTGCAAGGCCCGACTGGTGGACTATTTGGTAGTAGATAGCCGTATCATGCTCATACTCAGAAAAAGACTTGAATTTAATTTACTTAAGGATTAGAGATGGAGGATAATTCATTGATGCATAAATGAGGGAAATCATGACAAGTAATGAAATGCGCTATGAAAAACTAACTGAAGTTTACTAGTACTGTTTCCTTGTGGAAGTTATTCCTCGATTATCTGTTTTTTGGGCTGCACCATTTTTGGTTACTTGCCCCAGAGGTGTCGTTCAGACATGATTAAGCTACCAGCTGATACCAAGCCAAATTGACATGTGGCAAGCGGTCAACAACTTGTGACACTCAAAGCGGCAACATCCCAGGAAACCCCAAGGTCCAGCAGTGACAGTAGACTGGGAGGCATGGGGAGAGGTCATGGTGGCATTGCATTAGGGTGTCGCCAAATTGGTATGCGAATATTCTAAGACTATTTGGCTTGAACACAAGCACGGGTTCTGCAGGCGGCCTCTTCTTCAGAATACTAGTTAATGAAACCTGTTTACGTCCCGAAATGCTCAAAATGCACCAGTGACATGCGAGACATGAACCTGGAGCTCGTTGTTACATGGGAGGTTTGTGGGTGGGACTGTAGTGAGGTGTGCAGTGCTGTTCCAAAGTGGCAGCATTTAAACAGCAGTTCTAGCAAAGCAACAATTGTTAATTGTCTATGTGCTAGTCTAGGCCTCGTGTTATTTCTCTTAGAAAATTCCTATTGTCACTCCAAACCATTTGGCTAAGGTTTCAAATTGTCTTAAGTAAATAGCAAAACTTTATTCTCTTAACTCTACTTAATGTTCTCTGTATTGTATTAAGACGTTACTCAATTGATATTTATACAAATAGTCCTTGACATTCACAATGTAGTATTAGTCAGTAAGAATCTGTTTTCTTTCCTTTATTTTGCATGAGACTTATAAAACTGTATGATTCTTTAAGACATGAATCAATTTCAATATATAATACAATATTCAGTATGGATAGTCATCAGTACACAAAATATCTTCTTTAATACTAGGGTATTTTAAGCAATTATTAAACTAATGTATTATTCTGGAACATTGTTTTCAGATATGGAAGCTGGCAAAATTGGATGTATGAAAGAACTTGGCATTACTGAATCTTTTGTTGTGAAACGTCAAGTGCTCTTGTCTGCTGCTGAAGCTGCTGAAATGATTCTGCGTGTTGACAATATCATAAAAGCAGCTCCCAGGAAGCGTGTTCAGGACCGTGGACACTGCTAACTTATTTCTTATTAAAAGAGAAAGCAAGATATTCATTGTATTCATGAAGAACATTGCTCCTACTTCTCAAAAATATGAATTGGCTACATTAATATTATTTAACAGTTCTAATGCTTTATGCCACTGATGTTTTGTCACCAATATACTTAATTTACACTTGTCAAATGTTCTGTTTGATACCATTAATAAATAATAAATTTCTTAGATACACATTGTTTGTTCATGAATTTATTCTATTGATTGTTTAGTATAAAGAAGGGAAATCACTGGTATAAAACTTTTCTTTTTATCACAAAAATTGAGATTGTGTTTAGTTTCCTTGAAGAAATTTAGATTTGTGGAGAGTATGAGTGCTTAAGATTGTGAAATTAAATTAATAGTAGTTACGTCCCTAACGTACTCCCTCCGCACTAATCTACCCCAAAATATCGCATAGATGAAACTATTCAAATATATAAGCATAATACATAAAGCTCATCCTCGTTTAATTATTAACTTATAATGTGGTCATATTAATGGATTTTTTAAATATTATTTTATTGTTATTTAGAGTTACAACAAATGAAAGTTCATGCTGCATGAGAAATGAAAACGAGGGATGTTACAGCAGCATAATTCTTCACGGGAAGTTTGTAAGGGGTTGTCCATAAATTGCGTAATGCTAAACGGAGGGTAGGGGGCTGAAGGTAGTTGCGTTGTGTGATGTAGGGGTAGGGTAATTTTTATTTTGTGTCCTACTTTGTTTTTTTGTCTTATTCTAAAATATTAACTAATTTGTTTTAAAAACACACATTAAACTTATTAAAAGTTGTTACAATTAATACAACTATTTTATCTTTTTTTTTTATTGAATTTGTATGATTATGAAGAAAATATTCAAAACTAATCTGTAGTATATTTTAGAATCCAATTAAATTGGTACAGAAGCCTCCTGCTCATGCTCAATCCACAATGACATGTGCATGGCTTGTGTTCAGAAATTTTCTCAAGTTTGTCTCCTTCCTTCACTCAAAATTTGCCCCCGATCTTATTGTTAGGTACGGTTAGCATCACAATCTTATTCTGCCTTTAATTATCATTCATTTTAATACATATCCCAAATAAAAGAAATACAAATTGTTTTTACTGTGCTATAATTTATTTTCCCTTTTTGAGTTTGCAAAGGGTGGGTGTTGTGAGCATTATGTAATTATTTAGAGGGGGGTTCAAGCACGTGTTACGGGGGAGAGGGTTATCAAAATATTCCCAATTTGTGTATGTAATTTATGGATGGCCCCTAAAGGTTTCATGATACAAGGGTTAAGTGACTTATGAATATTTAAGGCATTTTTCTGAAAAAACCCTCATGTAAATGGAGCATGGGTAGAGACAATTATATTGTGAACCACAAAAAAACTTGAAAATTGTTTATTTGAGTTGAGTATGTTAATGTTTGTGATTAATCATGAAATTGAAGTCTACTCGCAAAATTCCCTAACGATATTCTGTAAAATTTAAATTTGCACAGTGATGTATGTATGAAAAAAGTTTTATTTTTTTATTGTTTTGAAAAATATTTCTTGCAATATGGAAGAGTTTGGAGTAATATGGAGGGGAAATTCTTGAGTCCACCTGGCAGCACTGTGCTGTCTGTTGAGTTGAAGGAAGACAAACCCCTTAAAATCCCCATAAGAACTTTGGTAGAAAATCTTAAGGTGCATCAACAGGGTGGTAGTGTTGCCCAGTTTAGCTTAATCACATTTATGGGAAACGTGGGAATAAAAAAAAACTATATGCAGCATAAGCAACAATGTGGTATTTTCCACTGAGCCAAACTGTCCCACCAGCCCATGCCACATCTTTGTACTGTTGGCAGCAGTCTGTCTTGTAGGTCCTCTATAAAATGTATCCAAAGTACATTTCAGTTTCAATTATTTATAGTGAAAGAATCCTCTCAACATTTCCGGTCATGGGCTACAATAGAAGAATGATTCCAAAAATACAAACTTTGAGTAAATGGACTCCAGAATTGCAGGTTCTACCTTCCAGCAGCTTATCTTACTGTACAGTATACCACCAAGTTTCAGAAGTGTGAATGCAAGAATGATGCGTTTCATTACGAGGTGGAACTTCAAACTTATTTTTCACAACACCTGATTTTTTAAATAGTGCCACTATTGCAGCCCACAAACAGTAAGGTGATAGTATATCTGTGAATGAACAATGGAAAACAAGAAAACTCGGAAACAATGTAAAAATGTGTAATTCTTAGGACTCAGATGTTTAGGACTGATCAATTGTTTCTCATTGACTCATTTGACTGCAATTTGAAAATTACATGTTTTAGCCTATTTTTGTTAGAGTGAACTTTTAAAACATGTTTTCATCTTTGTAATATTCCTAAAATGTTTGCTTATCTGGGACATATTTTTGTCATCTTTAAACACAATTTGCTTACCTATTATCACAAATTTAAAGTTGTGCTTGATTTTGAACTCATTACCATCCTGGCCTTGTAAACAAGTTCAAATGCAGGATTCAAGAAACTATCTTGCAAGATGAAAATACTTGTAATGGCATAGATTAGGACGAGCCTATCCCCAACTGAAGTAAACCATTGCAGGCCACAGTTAAGGGAGGGGGGCGTTGAACGCTTTGCGCTTCAAGTAATCCTCTAGTTATAATGAACCTCATAATCGTCTCGTCGTAGTCGTCAGGAGGACCGCCAGGTAGTACCTCCGCGTATGCGCCTCCTACTTCAACCTAGCGGCCCGAGTTGGGATTATGGTTGGGTTTAGGACACTTAGCAGGGGCTGCACTAGCTCTGGGGAAGCAGCCAAACTGGTTTTGTTCGAGCAAATTTCACATTAAGATTGTCTGGGTTTCACCGGGAATCGAGCCCAGGCCTCCTTGGTGATAGGCGAGCGACCTGATTCTTACGCAGTTGAAAGTTAAATAATGCTGTGCGGAAAAGCGGCGAATTTCGGCACAAAAACTTATTGCCGGGTCCTGGTAACGGGAAAGTGGATAAATCCAGTTGCTAAATTTAGATACTGTTTCTATACTTCGGTTTTTATAATAATGCGCATCGAGGCGTCTCTTCACGATGGAATATCTCACTACATTTCGCCTCTTTCTTGGCCGTCCTGCTCGATGTCTCATGATCGCAACCTATCGAGCAGCGCTATTCCATCGTGAAGACCTCTCTTGACGCACCACGTTATAAAAACCAAAGTTTAACAGGTGGTGTAGCCAGAATCCATGATTGGCGGGTCCTTGATACCGAAAAATCGACTGACGGCAAAATATCTACCTGTCCAACTCTCTGAACAAAGCTAGCGGCAAAACCGTTCAGCCGATTTTCTCCAAAACTGATGTTCCCCAATCGATCTGGATGTCACGTTCGGCCCCATGAATTTGAAATAGATAATTTAATTTTGAGGGTACCTTACATCAAGCCCCTGGGACGCTTTTAAAAAATTGACTCCATCGTATTTTATTAAATTTCGTTGTTGGATAGTATGAAGAGCGTTTCAGAGAACAGTGCAGGTCACATTTTCGTTGAAAACTGACTTATAGAAACTGGCAAAAGTTGAAATATTTTTTTCTGAGTCTTCCGGTATATAAAATATTAAAGATAGAAATTTTCTTCTTAATAAAATCTGTTCCTTTAATATAGATTTTGAAATGAGTTTTTATTCAAATTTTCGAAAATTTCAGTACTTTTGGCGTAATTTTGTGTAAAATACACGCAATTTTTAATTGTGTGTAAACATTTTTTCTCAAATACGGCACCAAATTGATTAAATTTTGACCTCAGATAGCGCAGAGGATGCCTAAGAGAATGGTGCCGGTTTCATGTTCGTTGCATATTTTGTTTTTTGACACTTTCTCATTTCTATTATTGAAATATGTTCATCAAAACATCTTCAAAGAAGGTCAACTTCAATTTTTAGAAAGTATGAGTATTTTTTTGTGTAATTTCGCGTGGAATATAGTCGTATGCTTGGAATTTCCTGCTCTTCGTGAACGTAATTTGAAAAGTGCTTCGAGGCATTTGGACATCGTTTCATATTTATTTGTTTCTTTCTTACATTCGAGCTTTTGTTATAAGTTTACTAATAAATCTTTTAGAAATTATTTAAAACTTCTTGGATAATCCATATTTTTTGTCCGTGTTAAGAAGGATGTATTTGCATTCTCAATGTATTCGCTGGCATATCTTTCAAACAATATGCCAACCTTAATTGAAATCAGCCCAAATAGATTTTCTTTCTTAAAATTACGGTTTCAATATAAAATGAAATAAAAAAATGCCATCCTTCAGGAAATGTGAGATTGGGATGCGACAATGGTATTCCGTCTCGCGTGTCGCCAACTGTAGTTCTGTGAATTACGTATCATTATTGAAAGATGATTTAGCTGTACGAAACTCTGTTATAATTATGGCCGAGGGGCTAGAGCGTGTGCGGACTCAGCGCCTCGGTCTGAAAGGTTTAGTGTTCGAGCCCCACCGTGGGCTTGGTTGTTTGTCCCTTGTCTTTCATGGATGTGTATCTGGAAGGCCTTGTGGGACTGCTGACCACAGCCCGAGGAGCGTGCACCTAATGTTCTACAATTTGTAATGAGTTTTACAAAAGAATGATGACTGAGATGTGATAATTAGGAGAGAAATTGCGGTATAAATAGTATTACTAACCATTACTAAGGGCGAGAAAGTATATGCTGTTTTTGCACCACTAGTTTTTCTTTGTAGTAGGTTTACTTTATATTAACAAGGGTACAAAACTAATAATATTTACTATATTAGCCTACCTTACAATCTAAACATACGGTTGTTGGTATTGTCAGTATCTGGAACAAAGCTGGGGAAGACATATTTATTAATGTTAGTCTCTGCATGGAATTTAAAATCGTCATGGTACTTAAACAGTATTACGCTACACTATACGCCAGATTAGAATTTTTTCTGGTGGTCGCAGGCATGGAAGGCCTTAGGTGACTGCACTTTACGTTAAACACTAAGAAACATGCGCTTGGAGAGTCACGCACTGTTGTTCTACCACAGACCCAGTGAGTGGCGTCTCTGTGGTCGAAGGCGCTCCTCTCAAGGGCGTTTCCACTAGTGCGTCGGGACGCACTAGTTCCGCGTAGGGACGAGGGCCATCCGCTGCGCACTAAGCCTACTGAGAGGATTGACCCTGTACTCGCATGTACTTGCAGGGTGCAAGATTATCTCGGCCGATGTGACAGAAGTAACAAGCAGCGCTGCCCAGGATTGCCTCGGCGATAATTCTTTCAGTTTACCACTGGAGTCAAATCTCTTTTCAGTGCCCGTCCCCTCCTCCTCCCAGGAACTCAGCGCGGTAATATCGGTCCAGTGGTTCTGCTTGGAGGTGCATGTAGTATTTGTTATTCGGCATATACCTCCCGCAGGCGACCGCTATACGTAACGGACAGCGGCCTAAACAACCACAGCGGTGTGGTCCTTAACGACCACGAGGTCCTCCCTGTACAGAGAATTGATTTTCTAAAATACGCTCCACCCCCACCCTTTACGACTTCAGCATCTTTGACGTGCTCGACAACTCGATTGCGCCGCAGCCGCGGGAGGAGCTACCCGATAAGACGTGTAAAACGGCCTTGTGGCCGCGAATTTGCGGGTCGTCAAAATACACGCAGCCTCGGTGGCAAAATTTGTATTTGCTGTTCGTCTGACTTAAAATATTTAGAACAGTTTAGACGAGTTGCGTGCACGAACGTGTAGACCGGCGGACCCTATGTACACCCCAGACGGGAGAAAATAAGAAGAGATCCTACCCTAACGCCCAAGGCCGAGGTGAATCTGCCCTGAAGTCGGATATCACGCCATACACGCACGTGACCCTGGATTTTGTGCGTGATCGCGTCGCCTCCCGACGGGTCCTCGTCAGTGGTCATTGCGTCCGCGGCTGCGTAGGAGCACCCGGTACTGTTGTGGCGCCAGTGGCTGTCCTCGGCCCTCCTCGGGGTTAGTCTCCGCTGTCTATATGACCACTATGCACGGGATGCTGCCAATAGCGGCCTCCGGGTGGCGATCAGCGCGGGGGCAGTGGTAGGGAAGGCGTGGAGGTCCTCCTACTCAACAGCGACCTCCAGCCACTTGGCCTCTGCTTTTCCGCCAACCGGGTAATCGCACCCGTCGTCATTATTTTCTTCGGCCTCGGTGCAGCTGTTAGAGGACAGGAACAGGAGCGCGTAAGAGGAAGGCACATACGCGGAGGCGCTATCTGGCGGTCCTCTTCACGTCTAACTGCGACGAGATTGGGCAGCAGACAAACCGATTATTAACGGAGGATTATTCCAAATAAAAAATGTTAACGGAGGATTACTTCTTAAAAAGCCCTCAACTACCTCCTAGGAGTTTGGAAACGCATTGCGTCAGTACCTTGGCAACAATTTTTTTTTTAAAAAAGAAGGAACACCCTGCTCCTCACCCCATACGTAAACTGCAAGAGTAGTCTGGCATACGCAAACACAAGCTCAAACCCAAACGAAATTTTAAGAAATTTTAAAAAATGTTGTATAGAGCACAGAAGCTCAAACGGTCATTATGCCGTCAATTGATATTTCGGTATCAAGGACCCACAAAACATCGATCTGGCACCGGGAGAGTTGCAGTGGTTTTGGGAGGTACCTCGTGAGGGAAAATCCCCGCTAACCGACAGGTTACATACGCATTCTCTTTAAGAGTAAGTACAAAGCGCTGTCTTCGATATTATTGTTCCGGGAAGACGCAAACATGTTTTGAACTTCAATTTTCGAACATGTTGATACATCAATGAAAATGCGACATGTGCCATTTATTTAAGTAGCATTTGCTCTATCTAAAAAAATCTAAATTTCGCCTTTTTCTGCGTATCGTTACAATACATTCTCATTACGAGCAAGTAAAAATCATTGTCTTCAATAATTTTGTTCCGAAAAAAAGCAAACATTTTTTGAACTTCTGCAGTTTTTGAAAATTCTGATAGTTCAACGAAAATGCGTCTTGCGCCGTTTCTTTAAGCAGCATTTGCTCTAAGAAAAATAAAGAAAACAATAGAACCCTTTTTAAGAATTGTTTTTTAAAAGACAAATCTTTATCACCAATATTGTACTTAATTTTATTTTTTTGCAATATCCGAAAATAGGGACAGTTTGCCGAAAATAGAATCATCATCACTTTCTCTGCCGCCTATTGCTATATTCAAGGAACAAAATTAAAGAAAAAATGCAGCTTTTTTTGGGAATAATAAATAAACATCTCCTACATTTCACCCACCATTTCGTGACAATTACTCACATTTTCGAAAAATTGTACATGACACTTAAATCTGCATTTGAAGGACAGACTTTTTTCAGAAAAATCTTCGTTTCTATATTTTAGTTGTAGGAAGGTAACGAAAAATTGTTGAACTTCTGCAATTTTCGAAAATTTAGATTTCTTTGACGGAGATGAGACTTGCGGCATTCTTTTTACCGCGCTTTACGCCAACATCGTGTTAGATGAAGTAATTTACAACACATAGGAACATGATTTTTCCACATTTTCAATACCAGGGGCCCATAATACAGGTCTTTCTGTAACAATAAAACGCCGATTTTAGCCGCTGCATTACAATGCCTCCTCTTTACTACGTACGTAGTAAGATGATAAGGTGTTGCCCATAAATTACGTCACTCTGAAGAGAGAGAGAGAGGGGGGGGTTGAGACAGCTTTACGCTGCGTTACGTAGGGGTAGGGGGTCATAGTTTAGCGTAACGTGATGCTGATATTTATTTTTAAAATCTTTCAACTTTTTCTGAAATAATTCTTTTTATTCAGTCTTATACTATAACATTACCATAAAATAAAAAATTACGTTTAAATATAATGAACGAAAGAAGTTATGTCCTACAATTTGTTACAATAAATACAAATAATTTTCTTCGATGATATAGGCATTGATTCAATCTTTTAGATTATAAACAAAATATTGAAAACTGATCAATAGTGTATTCTAGAATCCAATTAGTTGGCGCAGAAGACTCGGAGCCTATGCCGCATCCACGACGGCATGTTCACGACTAGTCAGAAATTTTCTCGATTATGCGTTCTTTCATTAAAAAATTGTCTCCCAACTTATTGTCCGCACCATCAACGAATTCTCGAACAACATTAATACAAACCATTTCTGCTACATAATTGAGATTTACTAATTAGAGTGGGGGGGTGGGGGGTCAAGCCAGCGTTTCAGGTGCGTTACGGGGGAGAGGGGGTATTCAAAATACTCCAATTTGCGTTAAGTGATTTATGTACGGCCCCTAAAGCAAACTCTAACAATATTCGCAACTAGCGAAGCGAGGACTCAACATAACGTACACGGACAATATCAACATTTTGGAGAGCCTCTAATGAGTATTACATAAGAATTTGTAATGTATTTCCTTTTTTATAGTTGGATTTTCGGGTTAGTAGGGTTGATTAAAGCTGGCTAATATCGTTGAAAAATTAATTCAAGAGCATTCAACTAGCCTAGTATAAAATTGCGAAGTGTTCTGCTGTAGTGTATCAGCTAGCTTACGGACGTAAATCTCTGTTCACTGCTGTTCACTTACAGGTATTACTAGACTAGACCTCCCGACGCGCGTATCGTAAAAACCATATGTTAATGAATGACTAAGACATATATAATAAATATAAAATGTCTTTCTTGTTGTCTTTGCAGCCAAAAACACTATTTCACGATTCCGCTTTCCCTGTGGTACAGACGTGGTTCACTGATACACAAAATAATATAGTAGGCAAACGTGAGTGCTCACGCTATTTTATATCTGGATCGGATGAACAGATAGCGTAAGTGCGTGCGGTGCGTGTGGGTTGGTCGGGTTGAGTTGGGTTTGTGTAAGGAACTGAGGAACATTTGGGGCGTGTCTTCCGCTGACCGTGAAGTAGTGTTTCTAGAAAAAGAAATCAGTGGACTTCCGAAGCTCATTTTTTACTGTGAGTTCATGAAGAATTGTAGTTATCCATTCATCCTTTTATTTATATTTCGTTTTAAATGAGCATAATTCACTATGGTACGAATCTGATGCTTCGCTGGTTGAACGTTATTGCACCTGTAATAGTGTTTGTTAGATTTCTGAGCAAAAGAGGAAAATGTGAAGCTTATGTATATGTTTAATATTTTTAATTATTGAAAGTAATGATAAATTATCGGTTGCCATATTCGCCGGTTGGTTCCTCCCGAAGATACTGTCGTGTTTATCTTGGAAGTCTGAAGATAAGTTGAGGTTATTCTGTCATTCACTGAACTTATATTTTGGCACTTTTTCTTCTCGTGTAGATTCCTGAAAATATGTGGAAAGCTGCTGTGGGCACCAAAGTGGAAGTATCAAATGGCAATGACGATGACTGGGAAACAGATCCAGATTTTGTGAATGATGTGACAGAACAGGAGCAGAGATGGGGTTCTCGTACTGTGGAAGGATCTGGCCGAACCGCTGGAGCAATCGAGTAAGTTAATATGTTAAAAACATTACAGACATTTTGATAGATTCCATTCACGAAACTTGTATTACTTTACTGCTGTATGTAACTAAAATTTAAGAAAATGAATGAAGTTATCTTTATAATGATAGAAATTCCAAAATGAATCTTCTTTATAACTTTCTAATAAATCCAATGTTCCAAAGATCATTTACACCATCATTAAATGTGAATGTTTTTTTTCTGTTTCTAAATGGGATTTAGAATGTGCTTTTTTTTATATGTCAAATGAAATTTATTATGTTTGTTATTTTTCTCAGTATGAAAAAACTTCGAGAAGAAACCACAAATGCAGATGCAATTTTAAAACAAAAACTTCTTGAAACTGGCCCTAATCCTTCTTATGGTTATGGAGGAAAATTTGGTGTACAAACAGACAGGTCAGTTGATTTGATGTAGTTTGCCTTGGATGTGTTTTTTTGTTTATTTCATGAATCCAAAGAGCAGATACAATTAAAGGATTCTAGAAACACAATTCATATTTCTCTATCTTTTACCTTTTATTTACAGTTGCATATCAATGCCATTTCAGTTCTCATCATCGGAGAACATCAAAGGGTCAGCACTGTATTGAATTATATTGCAGTTTATTCTGGGGTCAGTGACAGATCACAGAATAAATTGCAATATAATTTAAGGAAAATTTGTTTATATTTCAGAACTAATAGTATTTGTATATAGCAATATATTACAGTAATTTTCTCCAAGTTTGTGTTAAAATATTTTCAGTTTCTGTGGCAAGGCAAGGGCATGTACGGTTTGAATATTTTCTATTTTAGCGATCCTTACCACTCTGCCGAATGGCACTGATGGCCATGTCTTTTCTTTTTTTTTGAAGAACTAGATCAACATTTATTGTGCTGCTGCAATTGCACATCTGTTGTCTGTATTGACAGATACTAAAATAAGATTGCAACATGTTTATGGGCAGGTCTGGCTGTAAGAGAACAGGATTGTCCAGGAAGACTGATAAACATTGAAACATGAAACTTGTCAGTCAGGTTTCAGAAAGGTTCTAATAATAAAAAATCTTAAACAATGAAACAGGTAACTTGTGACCTAAAGAGAAAGAAAATAGTATGCTAGGGTTCAGCTTTGAAACCCATTCCCCCACAGTATGCGACTATTTTGGTACATTAGCAAATTCAAGTAAATGCTTAATATTATTCATGTAAAGAGTAACTTCTCCATTAGAAGATATGGAATTAATTTATTTATCATGTAGAATTATCATGACCAATTCGAATGACTGTTATTCTTAGTACATTAATAGTGGTGTTGGGATCCAGTATGAAATTCAGGAGCAGAACTTTTGATGAAAATACTGATTCCAAGCTCTTTTTGGGAGCTGGAAATTTATTCTGCTCAAGGCATCAAACTGTTTCAATTACCTTTCTGGTTTTGGTTTTTGTCATTAAAAATGTTTAGATTTGGGTTGCAGTTTTGGTTAGGGTTTGAAACAATTACAAATTATTTTATTATCATTTCAGTAAATAGTATCAGAGTTAATTATTATGCCATGGAATTTTTGTAGAGCTGTTTTTTGTGATTTTATTACAACAGAAATAATGAATTTAAAAACTTGCATCGAAGATCAGGAACACAGAGGAAAGTACACTGGGACTGAGACAATGATGCTGTTGGTATGTTATAATATAGTTTTCAATTAAACTAGTATATTCAATAGTTTCCAGGCTTCATTTCAAATGATCTCATTTAAAATGAAGTTTGTTATCATAAATATTAACAGATATTTCAAGAAAATATCAGTAATAATTGAATCAATTGTATAATGTGAAATGTGTGCAAGTATGAGTATTCTGTTCTAGAATAAAATTTTTTGACATTGCGTAATGAGCAGTATTTCTTGGTGACAATGGAACATGTTTTGGCATTCATTACGTCATTTATTATCAATGCAGAATATTGGGAGTAGTTTGAAGCAAAGATGCGTGTAGTTTTGAATGAATTTGTGAAGCTCTAGATGATTCAGAACCAGAATATATTTTGAGTTCATTAGATGAAGATTATATACTTAAAACTATAAATGCATCTGAGTTGAAGAATAATTTAGAAGTAAATGCAAAGGTGGAAAGATGTGGATCTAGGAGCGACAGACAATTTGAGATGAAAAATTTAGATGGAGCTGGCTTCAGCTGCTCCAATTGCAGAAAAGAAAACATATCTGAAATGCGGAGTACAGATGAAAACATTCAACATGCCATTTGCCTGTATTTGTAGCAAATATCTAGGAATAGATTTGCACATATGTCCCAGTTCATACAATGTGATGAAAAAACAACTCATTTTCTTCGGGCAAATACTGACAAGCTTGCTGCAATTCAAGACATTGGGGACAAATTTGTTGCAAACTGTAAAAGATCATATGAACCAAATGACAACTTGACTGTGGATGTGGGTGAGCAGCTGGTGGCTTTTCGTGTTGTCCCATTAAACCAGGCACAGATCCAAGGGGGGGGGATGAGGGACATTTCCCCCTCCCTCTGTATTTTTCAGTAACCATTAATTTTAACATGCTCGAAAGTTTCAAACAAAAATATTTTTGGGTAGTCATTAAAACAAAGAAAATCGTATCACAGCAAGAGCTAAGTTTAACCTACATTATTCCACACAATTGTAATATGACACATTAAACCAAAACATTTTGAATAAAAAACGTTTTATCGATCACGTGTGTCCCACAGTCGAGCATTTATATAGTGTCCCCAGGATAGGGGAATATAACTAGGGGTGGATTCTTATGACCTGAAAGATAGCCAAAAATGATCAATAAAAATCTCTTAAAATGGTTTTAATATAACCTAAAAGCAAAGAAAAATGACGTAATATATTTTTTAGCAAAATAAATGCGTAACTCAAGCACCTAGATATTTTACTAATGTAATCACAGTGGTAGATCAAAGGGGGGAGCAACATCCTCCTAAAAAAAGCACAGAGAAAAAAAAATTGTTATAAGTTCAGGAAGAATGAAAATTAGAAAAAGAGGAAAAATTGTTGAAACGGGTAAAATGTGTCGATAAAGTAAATGTGCATTCTATTTTTAGCCTTTTAGTTACAAATAGGAATCCTGATTCTTGCTGTATTTTAGTTCAGTGTATGGTATGTACGGAAAAAGTATTCAACTCCATAGGTGTATGACAACTCATACCTCTTTACTCCACTTGACAAGCGCTGCTACGGAGACATCAATGTATTGGACTGAGGCCTTCACAACCAGAAACAGTGTTGACAGAGAAAGTCTCTCTAGGTACCAAGTCAGTGACCGTGGATCGCTGTTTCCGTGCAATTTCAGTGTGCCCAAAACCAGATTATGGCATAAATCGCTTGCATGCACTGGAGACGGTGCGGGGCATGCCTCTCCTCCCTTCCCCTAAATGTCTAGTTTTCAATTGTTACCTTCTTTTATTTTGAAAAATTGATTTAAATAATTATTTACATTATAATTATGTAATTATTTAAAAAAATAATATTGTATAGTATCATACATACATTGCAAAAATAATATAAAATGTAATAGCAAATGTTTATTATTGTACAAAAAATCTATGATGGCCCCTACAAAACAATCGGCTGGATCTGCCCCTGGTGGAAATAAGTACTCAAGAAGAAAAAAAAAATGTCTAAAATGAATAAGTAGAGGATTCTTGTGCCATATTTTGTGCAATCTTGTTGACTTTCTTCAGTTCTGGTCAGTAATGTTTGCATGTAAGCGGATATTTAATATGAAAATTGATATAATGCATTTTTGGAAATTTAATACTTTAATCCTTTGTCCTTTTAGGGCTTTGAGTTCAACAATTTTAATAAAAAAATTAGTACTACTAGTTTCTCACTACCGCTTACCAAGTGGAGAGAATGTTATGTAGAACTGTGCGAAAGAAGGGAGAATTTTTGACAGAAAAACTCTTATTACGCGATGTGTTTAATGCATTAGGTAAACTTGATAATAGTTATACCTCAGGACCAGACAGTATTCCACCCCTCTTTTTGAAAAATTGTAAATCAAATATAACACCTATTCTTCATTTTTTATTTGTTAAATCTATGCAAGAAGGTTCGATTCCGGACATTTGGAAAATAAGTTTTGTAACTCTCGTATTTAAATCCAATAATCGCTCCGATATTAAAAACTACAAGTCTATATCTAAACCTTGTGTTATAGCTAAGTTACTAAATTATATAATCACTCTAAACTCATTTAGAAAATATAATGATTATGTTTTTTGGTATAAATTGATTAATTATAAATTAGATAGTGGTGAACTTCTGTCTAAATTATTATGGAAGATTCCTGTTGGAAATTTGCTCAAAAAGGCTCCAAATTTTTTCTTTTAATTTTTTGTAAGAATAGAGTAAGATGCACTTATAAAGGTTGCATGGTTCCAATTTTCTCTAATAACTCTAAACTTTTGATAATTACAAAAGTTTGAAGTTTATTGGCAACTTCCTAAAACTACAAAATTGAAGTTAGAGAATTTTCCTTCAAATTTGTTGTCCATAATTAGTTCTTTTATTAAGATCATGTAGTTTTTATTTTGTTTTTTTAGTAGTATTTGCACAATATTATGTGAAATTTGTGCAATTTAAAAAAATTACATGAACAATATTTTCTGAAAAATGGCTCCAATTTTTTCTTTAAACTTTTAGTAGGGAGAGTGCTAAATACTCCGAGATGACATCAATGCCATATTACACTATTCTTTTGTTTTTACAAAAATGTAATTTTTTGACTTGTCTTTCTCATTTTTCCTATTTGGATTAGCTGCGATACATTCATATTATTGCTCTGCGAGTAAATGTAAATGATGCCATATAAAGTTTCTCAAAAACTCGAATGTTTTCTGTGAAAATGAGCTCAAAATTCTGCATTTTCAGAAATGCTATTGTGTCAAAAACAGCTCCAAATTTTTTCTTCAAACTTTTCAGACAAATGGAACTAATTACAAGATTTAAAATGACAAATTAATTTTGCTGTATTCTTTTGTTTGTTCAAAAATTACACAAATGTAATTATTTTGAAATATCTCTCACACCATTAATATGCACATTTCCAGCAATTTGTATATTCTATTGTATTTGTGAATGGAAGCGCTTTAAATGACTTCAAATAAAATTTTTCAAAAACTCAAAAAATTTCTGTGAAAAGGAACTTCAAATTTGACAACTCTGAAAAGACATTTTCATTAAAATTGTCTACAGATTTATCAACCACAAATTCTATAATATTCTTAGAGTAATTTTTCGTTTCTGCTATCTGAAAACCGAAAAATTGATCATATGAAAAAAATTATGTTTGGGCGACCATAGATAGCAGCTACAAAGAGGATTGGGCACGATCCAAATGCTTGCCCCGGACAAAGAAATTAGCAAACTTGCTAGCATGAGAAAGTCTGTGCCATTTTGTAGCACTATCAGTTTAATTTTAAACCATAAAGTATTCATTAAATATAAAACTTAATATTTCAATATTTTTTTTTAACTCCTCTGGTTAAACAGTACATGAAACTGAATCCAACAGAGTGTGGAATAAAAGTTTGAGTGCTGCCTGCTGATACAAAATCATCATATGTACCATATGCAAATGTATTCTGAGAATTCTCAAGAGAAGAACGTGGCACGTAGTGTTATTTGTGATATTGCATGAATCTGGCACAGTTGTAATTTAAAAAAAAAATGAGTGCCAATTGCTTAATTTGTGTTCAAGAACTGTATTACCAACAGGGGCCAGAATTTAATTTTGGGAGAGGAATAAATACTTGTATTACAGATTTTGCGAAATATCACAGGTTAAACTCAGATCATGCTGCAATACAATTTTATTCGTTTTAATGAAAATTCCAAAATATTTTTACTTGAAAGTCTTGTGACAAGTCAAAATTCATAGTTATTGAAAAATTTTAGTGGGCGAACTTTCCTAATTTCCCTCCCTGTGGATCCCCTTTATGGGGGTCAAATACATCTTGCGCATACTGAAGAGGTTTATTTGCATAATTATTAATTCAAGATTCGCTCTCTCAGCAACAACTAGAAGTACTATTAATAGTTGCTTTATACTGAAGAAGATTGTTTCTTATGCATGTAGTAAAAACATCCATTTAACGTTTTGTCGAGTTATTGTGGAGGGATGTGGGTGTACAGTGAAGAGTGAAGATGTTATGTTTGGTGTATGTTTTACTTGAACCAGTATTTTTGTTTTCAGCAGTGATTCGGTGAAACTTTCAAGTCAGTGTGCTTGGTCACGTAGCTTTATCAAGAGTGAAGAGCTTTCCTAATATTTTTGTGACTATCTTACGAAGCAAAAAGCTAATTATCAAATAATATTAAATAATTACTTCAATTATTTTTAAGGGAGTGTTGTGAAGGCATCTCTCGATAATACTGAATAAGTCTTTAGTGAGAATTTCTTTTCCACATCAATTGCATTGTTTTTTTATTTTTATTTGATATTGTGTTAGTGCAATGGAAGTTACCTTTATATATTTTTAAACAAATAAATATGTTTTGTTAACAAGTTTTCCTCTTAGAATGGAAATAGAAGAATAGTGTGTGGGGCTTATGCGAGACTTCTTACACAGGTACACGGAGGTAGTAAGTGAAAACTTGTGCTATGGCCCAACACAAAGAACAAACTGTTTATGTTAAGTAAAATAAAATAGCTTGAAATAAATGAAAACAAAAATCAAAACACCCTAGCCTACAATACTACGTGAAGTAATTTAAAAAAGCAACAAAATTAAAAATTATAGAAAGAATGTCATTTGATAACTGCTAACGATTACAATCCAAACACATGATTTAAATGTTGGCAGTATCTGGAAGTTTGTACATCAATGCCCAGTTGAAAACTCAGATTGTAAATAATACACAGGTTGATATTAAACTTTAGGTGTTGGTTTGCTAAGATAATACGTAAATATCATTTGAGCAACATTCCCATGTACCGAAGTGAAGTCTAAACTTACAGAATTGTTTCTAATGTTAACAAACGGTGTATATTACTCAAAGAGGAAAATATTTGTTTTATTATTTTTTGGCTTGGATTTTCTTTTCTTGAGGTATGTAAGAACGCAGAAAATAATCCAATATTTTTTAGTATACAAATAATTTTTCAATTTTTACACCCCAGCAAGCTGGCCTCCTGCCCCTCCATACTCCCCTCCTCCTTTTCCCAATTAACAAATCCATCCAAAATTTGTCTCTAACATCAATTTTTATTATTGTTTGATATTGTGCAAGTACAAAGTTACATTTTCACATTTCTTAATAAAAAAAATGTGTTTCATTAACAACTTCTCTTTTTAATGGAAAGGAAGTGCACTAGTAAGAAATAATTTTAGTAATGGGCTTCTCAGAAGTACAGAAAGAAACTAAAAATTCTGCACTGCAATTTTATACCACATAATTAGTGCCTTTTTCTGGCAAATGATAGACAAGGAGAGGAACTTGATGTATGCCATTAGAAAAAAGAAGAAAGAAAATATGACTTGAGCATGTTAACAGAATGCCCCCAAGAGTTCCCAAAGTCATCTATAATTCTTCTCATAAGAAGGAAGAAATGTTGTTTTACAAACTTACAAATTTTGAAGTTCAGTTATGAATGAAAATGACTATGACTCTTTTTATAACGATTTCTTTCTGATGTAATGTGAACCAGAAGTATCTCTCCAGTACTGGTGTGAGTGCTAGCAACAGTAATAATGTTGGTAGCACTAACTGCAGCTTGTGCGAACATTGTGTACTCGCCAGAATCATAACAGATGCTGGAAGGGTTGTTACTTTCACTTGTTTCCCGGTGTTTTATTGCTACCAGTATTAATGCAATTTTTAATAGAAAGTTCTGATTGTGCTCGGTGTGGAGAGACATTCCTGTATGACCTTATTAAAAGAAATACTAACCCTGTTGTTGTAGGATGGATGAATCTGCTGTTGGTCATGACTATGTAGCCCAAGTGGAGAAGCATGTGTCCCAGAAGGACTACAGTACAGGATTTGGTGGAAAATTTGGTGTGCAGTCTGACAGAGTGGACAAGGTTTGTGTTTTGTAACAAGAGCTGTTGTGATGTCAGATGTGTGCTGTATTAATGCTATCGAAGTTGTGCCATTGAGCTGGTATAATTTCTTATGAATTATAGCTTTATTTATTTTGAGTATTTCTGACTTAGTCCACTTACTTTGTAGATCTATGCGAGGTAAATTAATGCTAATGGGCAATTTTATGCACCAAATGCCCAGGCAACTCTCTCGACTCTAAGTATTTTAATGCTGTTTAGAAAGAGAAATATATACTATTTTCTGTAGCTTTATTCCATCCTAAAATTTACTAGAAACAATAATGTTGATTTTCTGAAATCAATGCTAGATTATTGATACATAATACAATCCTTATCATTTCCATAAGAACATGCTACATTTTATCAAACACTTCATTCACCCTGCAACAGTCTCACCTATGAGATCCAAAATGTGATGGTGAGTAGGGTAAATCCAATCATCCTATATAGGTTTGTTGGGTAATTCAAAGTGTAAACTTTATCTCTATTTTTTCATAAGTACTATAAATCACTTCTTGCCTCCTCAAGAATCCCCCGCCCATAAGATGTATTTTAATGGCTTTTATTTCCCCATTTTACACATCTGTTCCTTTATCATTTTGGCTGCACTTGAAAAGCTGCAAATTTGAAAGGGATCTTTTAATTTCAGGGGTACTTCATATGAAGAATGCAAGACATTTTCAAAATGTTATCAAAAAGGTTCCAATTTTTTTCTATACATTTTTTTGCGCAAATGGAACAAAGTACACATATAATAATTACATAGAATTTAAGCATAATACATTTTTATTTAAACTTCTGAATTTTCAAAAGTGTGAAATGTTCAAATGTTCACACCTCCAATATTTAAACTAGAAATTCCTTTCTTAATGCAATTTATTCCTCAATATTAGATCTTTAAGTAATTTTGTGTGTAGTTTTTTCAAAATATTTTTGTTGTGTTATGTGTGACAATTTGTCACACATACATAAACAATTTTTTCTCAAAAACACCTCCAAATTATTTTTTGAGAAAGAAAGGGAGAGTATGTGTGGGAGAGGTAGAGTGTGTATGTGAGAGCGAGGGGAGAGAGAAAGAGAGAGCATGCACATGAGAGATAAAAAGGGAGTGAGAGTGCATGCAAGAGAGAGAGAGAGATTATTTGTGTTGCTGAACAAAACCTACATGTTTGAATAAGAAACTGATTAATGTTTCACTACTTTGTAGAGTGCTGAAGGGTGGGAATACAAAGAAAAGATTGAAAAACATGCTTCACAAAAAGATTATGCTACTGGGTTTGGAGGCAAATTTGGAGTTCAAAAGGATCGGCAAGACAAATCAGCTGTTGGATGGGATCATGTGGAAAAGGTGGAAAAACATGAGTCCCAGAAAGGTGAGGACATGTTTTGTTTAATTCTATACCAAGAGATTAATTATTTTTTATTTTTGTTTTATTGAAATGTAGAGGCTATTACAGTAGTGTTAATCAAAAATGAAATCAATATTCAATTTACAAAGTTCATTGTATTGTTTATATTATTTCTCTGTGACGAATTTCAGAAAATGATTTAGTGGAGTACTTAGAGTGGAGTCTCATTGAGTGTGGTGATATTGAACACAATGTACCCTCTAAATATTAACTAGTAGGTTTTTTTCATTGTAAGAAATAATCATTTTGAGATTCCTTGTGCCTATTCTAGAGGCACTGCGTTTTTTCTGGAATCATTGAACCCATTTTCTTGCTTTATTTTTCTTGAATAAGGCAATAAACAATGTGTGAAATACTTTTTTATTTCTGTTTTTCAAATTCTTTTGTCTCCATAGTTCACAGAAGTTGATAATTGGTTCTTAAAACAAGCGTCATTCAGTTTCTAGTATCAATGTCTTCTATCTATCTAGTATCGATATCATGTATTAATCTCTATTAATGATGAAATTTTGATTATCTGAAAACCATTGAAACAATTTAGTCTGGAATTAAGTTTGTGGAAAAAGTGCAGGGTTGTTCCATGTCAAGTTGCAGAAATATTCATTGACTTAATTTTGAAAAATGGCCTGGCCAGCATGAATTTTGATGAACATTTGAATACAGATTTCCATATACCTCGAAGAAACTCTTGTTCTTGGAACTTCTAGTCCATGGGGTTTTAGCTTCATAGATGAAGTAGTTTAGAGATGTGTGTTGTTTGACACCAAGCAGGATTGATGTGCTGTAGCCTATAAGATTATGACAACTTTGGGAATATTTTCTTTTGCATTATTTCTAAACAAATGAAGCTGAAAATACTTGAACACCTTTTTCCTTTCTATACAATGGAACTAATGTCAATTTTGACTTTATTAATGCACTGTGGAGAAATTGCTGCATAGTCACTAAAATAAATTGTTCAAAATTGTATTGCATAGCTATCGAAAATGACTGTTAGGGTATTGGGGTTGCAAGTGCTTGTTCTAGTTCTAGTTCTTGAATTTTATAACGAGTATCATGGGCCAAAACAGAAAATCTGCTAGAAAATGATGGAATTTTTTACTTGCAAGGCAATGTTTTCCAACTTGTGGAAACTAAATCTAGTTCAATAGGGGCTTCAAAATGTACTTTTTCTGAGATATCTTTTAAATAATTTCTATAAGGTATTCTTTGGAAAAATGAGTTAAAAATACTATCTTTTGAGAATTTTTGCATTAAAAAGAAATTATTTCATACTTGATTTACGTAGTGATGTTAAAATCTGAGAGGTTGAAATTCTCGAATAAAAAAAATTTATATTGGGATATTAGGTACTAAATTCCACCCTTTTTTACTAGAATATGAAGCACAAGCTACAACATTATGCCTTAGAATATAGCACATTTTTGTCAACATTGCTGACTTGTTACCTCATGTTTTTTTTCTTTACCAATGGTGTTTAGGGTTCTGCAATGGTGATTAGGGTTCTGCCAAAATCATAAACTTCAATTTTGTTAAGTAGTGGTAAGACCTAGGAGGTTGAAATTTTGCATTTAGAAATAATGGTGTGGTGATTTATTGTATACTCAGTTTCACTTTTCATAATTGAATGTGTTGAAACTATTCAACCTTAAAAGTTTCAAACTATTTTAAACATTTTTTCTTCTTGAAATTGAAATTAGTCTATTGAATAAAGTGGAAATCTTTTGCAAGCAATCAGTTTCATTTTTATAGAAATAACTGAGAAGGAAATATTCCTGAATTTGCCAAAATCTTTTAGTGGTATTGAAATCGATGCTGCTTGGTGTCAAACAAAATGCTATATCTAAAAAAACTATTTCACTTGTGAAGCTAAAACTGAACAAAAATTTCTTTGAGACATGGGGAATTCGGCATACCAAAGTTCAAAGTGAAGTATGCTTACCTGAGCGACCTTACATAGGGAGGACAACCAACATTAAATATGTGAAGGAGAGGAAATTCTGATGCAGGCTATTTTGAAATCTGCATAATGAGAGTTCAGTCATCTGTGCATGCCAGATATGTAGTAAAAGGTTTTAGGTCAGGAAAAGAAAAGCTCTTTAAAAGTAATCCACCAATCTTCAAATGGATTTTGCCGTTTCTGAATTAGCCCTAAGTGAACAGCAATATCTGAAAGATTTGTTTGATGTTGGTGATAAAAGCTCCAGATTAAGCTTCAAGGAAATTTAGAAGGGTAGCTGCTACCAGAAACAAGCACCTGATTAAAAAGAAAGAATCATGACATCCTGCAGAGCCCTCTGATTTGGCCAATCATCATCATCATCATCATCATCATCATCATTGCCCTCATCAGGCTTCAGCACTTCACCAATAAGCAGTTACAGTGAATTGAATCAGTATGTATAATGAAGAACCGTGCAAACTGATGATGGCACCAGATCTCATCATTTAGAAAGGGAACAGCCACATCCTGCAATAAAAATATGCACTACACTTATGAGATTAATTACCTTAGCAGTTGACACATCTGGAAACACATCAATCAATTAATCAACAAAGATATAGAAGAACTTCAACAATCACGAGAAATTGGTCAAGTTGGACCAAGGAAGATTATTCTTTCCCCTTTAAAAAATCTTTTTCCTGTTCAAGAGTAATACATATGTCGACCAACCTGACCCAAAGGCAACAACTCAAAACTCTTTAAGTTTCTAGATATTGCTATTTCGAAACTTATGCTCTGAAAATGTCTGTTTCATCACTTGAATTTGAAATTTATGGCATAATAGTACAAAATTAATAGTATATATCAAATTCAAATAATGTAATTTTAACACTTCAATGTCTCAAAACTTAGAGTTTTGGTTTGTTGCTTTTTGGAACAGACATGTTGATGTGTACATAACATATCATCAGTGTAAAAGTGAAACTTCTATGATAAAAAAAAAAAATTTAAGGTAAATAAAGTTGAAAATTCAATAGAAAATTTGTCTCTTCAGTATCATTTGCTAGTCGAATTGGGATATGAAATATCTACTTCACTTCAGCTTTGTTGAGTGAAAATATTTCTGTTTAAAAATGGAGGCACCATTTCATATAAAATTATATGATAATTAATGTATGTGCAGTCAAAGCTTAAGCTACTTAAAATGGAAAAGAATTCTAAAACAATAGTTGGTGCAAAGTGAATTTTTAAATAAAAGTAAATTAAACAATTAATTTCATTGATAATGTAAAAGCACATGAAAGACAGAAGATGAAAGTGATGAGATTTGAATCAGAGGTCTTGACTCAATACGCAGCAATTGTTTTGGCCATTCTCTTTGGCCTATTGTAAATTGATAGTTCATGAAGTAAACAATAACTAATTTGTACTAAAAGATATAAATTACAAAAAAAATTGATTTGTTATTTTGAAAAATACTTAATTTTGTGGTTATTCTGCAAGGATATAAGCACATAAGCAAATAATATGATCTCAAGAAATTCATGGCTTCTATTGCAGAATTTCTTTTATGAGAAGTCCAAGTGATGAGAAGTTATGAAGTTTTTGTATAAGCCAAATATGTTTGTTTTTCCTTCAATTTGATTTTGGATGACTACATTTTAATTATACAAATATATGAAAGAATGATATATGGATGAAATGTGATACTTATTTTAGATAATGGGCTTTTCTTTTGAGATGTAGAGCTAGCTTTTCCTTTTGTACATTTGTGTAATTAATCTTAGCATCTGGGATGTTTAAGACCAATAAACTGTTGCAGATGAAATTTTTGATTCCATAGACCTTATAGAAGTTAAATCTGTCTGCTCTGTGACAATCCATTTTTAGTAACTACAATTTTATTTTTAATTTATTTATTTGTTTTGTATGTCAGAATATGGTTTTGAGAATGTTTTATGAATTTATTAGATTTTAATGACTGGTTGTATTTTTATCAATGACCTAGTGAATCCTAATATCAATAACTTTGTTCACTAATACTCCATATGGTAGACTGTCAGTATTTATTCAAATTATTTCAAAATAAATGATGATGATTGATAATAAATGGTGGGAGTGATGATAATTATGATGAAGAAGAAGAAGAAGAAGGAGAAGAAGATGAAGATTACCAAATAAACATTATAAAAAATTTCTTCACTGAAAGAATATGTACAATTGCGGACCATTTTAAAATAAATGTATCTCATTTTGAACAAATCAACACTGTTATTCATTCTGATAGTTTAGAATTCCCAAAATAGGTGTATTTATTTATAGCATTGCTACGATCTTCATATGAAGATATGGAAACGGCATAACCAATTTTTGGTAATCGATTAATGATTAGATGGAAAATCTTTCCTTGAATTTGTTAATGAAAATTAAGTAGATAAAATATGGAAACATTGAAATTCTTATGTAACAGTATAAAAGGAAATAAACAGATACAAAAATTACTAAAATCCTTTTGTGTACCTTGAAATGAAATTAAACAGTTATCACAAAATATTTTACTGCATAAACACTTGTAACTAAGAATGGATTGTTACCAATGCAGTTCTTGTAACATGGCGATTTGTCCTATGCACAACCTATGACACCCATCAAAAATAATAGTATATGAAATGCTTATGGTCTGCTATTTGAATGGGATACATATGATTATAACTTATTCATCATTCTGGATAATGTTATTGTTAATCATGCAGTTTATTTAAATACATTAAGCCTGAAACTATGATATCAATGTTCAACATTACCAAAACATTGACTGTCATTCATATGTAGTGTGTGTTATCATGATTTATGACTGGCTGTGGCTTCAGATTATGCAAAAGGTTTTGGAGGCAAGTTTGGGGTGCAGACAGACAGACAAGACAAATCTGCTGTGGGCTGGGACCATGTAGAAAAAATTGAGAAGCACGCCAGCCAGAAAGGTATTTTCAGGAATCTTTTACAGATTCTATGGTGGTTGTTGGTGATGGACAATTGCTGTGCTGGTTTGTTGTTCCTGGAGTTTCCACTTTTCTCCATTAGTTACTACTTGGAGATGGCAATGCTGTGGTACCTTTAAACTGTGTTTTTAATGCATTTTAATATAACTTTTGGACAAGATTTGTATATATACTTGGGAAATGGTATTGTGTAGTTGAATTGCATTAACAAGCCCTCTGCTATTCCATTTTATGTCTTTGACAATTATACTTCTTTAACACACAAATATTCATAAATACTTCCAATGATAATTTTTAAGTGAATGAAATATGGACTGTAAGACAATTGAAAAAAAAAATTGTCTTCATTCTGATCCCTATTCTATACGGAAGTAGTGATGATGAACAGTGTTTACTAGAACCTTACCTTATAACAAATAAGAAAACATAATAACTGCATAACAATTCTATATTCTTAAACTGTAAATAAATTTAAAACTATAACCATTTTAAACCATTCTTATATTGTGCCCCTTAATGGATTTTTATGCACGTTTGCATGTTGTATCATTTCCAACATGCAATATTTGCATGTTACATCTGTTATTATTACTCAAAATAATTATTTAATGACTGTGTAATGTAATATTCCATTGTTATTTAATTTGTTACTCTTAATTAAGATAAGGTTTATGCAAGCGTGTTATTGTTTAATGTCTTTTATAAAATGTAAATTCATGACAGAAAATTATTATATTACTTAAGGCAACTAATAGCTTGTGTCTTTATAATTGTTGTTTCATAAAATATATTTGATAGTTCTTGATATTGAAGTCAGTGGTTGTCATTTAACTATTAGATGTTTTATTTATAAACTTACACATTTTTAACGCAAAATTTCGTTATTATCAGCAGCTAGCTTTTATGCAGTGTTTTAAGTCAAAATGTATGTTTTGTAATTAGCAAATTTATTTATTTTAATTAAATTAAATTTATAATCTGAATCTTGCAAATCTAAAAATATTTTGTACATGCAACACTTAATTTCAAACTAATTTTTAAATATTAATTTACATTGTAGATTATGCAGTTGGATTTGGAGGAAAATTTGGTGTGCAAGAAGATAGACAAGATAAATCTGCTGTTGGTTGGGATCATCATGAACGACTTCATCAGCATGAAAGTCAGACTGATCAAAAACAGGTTGTGTGTCTAATATCTCTGCCATTAACAAACTTCGCAATCTTAGGTGCATGTAATCTATTCAAAAGTTGCTGATAGTATTCACATAATTTTCGTCTTTCTTATCGTTCTTGCTTCACACTTCAAATTATGAAGAGAAATGTGAAAAATATTTATGCCCAAATCGATGGCAAATATTTTGCCATATTTTGATATCAAAACGATTTGCGTTGTTATACCTTGTCAATGTCATACTTATCTAGGCATGCAAGGTAAGTATTATAACTATAATGTAGTTTGTAAGTTAGTACACAGTATTTGTAACGCTAGAACTTTTCTCTGGACGGTGGCTGAACTAAAGCTAGCTATGCAGCCGGTGTTGAAAATCTTGCCATTTTCGGGACTTGGTACACTAGGCACACCTCGCAGTCAGAAGCACTGCAGTATCACAAATTGATGCCCTAAGCTACCTATATTGGTATCTGTACATCATCAAAGTACTTCTTTAGGTAGGGAAGTATTTGTGGGTCAATCAGAATGGAATTTTTCAGACGCCTGTGTATACATTGACTCATTTTTGCTTTCACTTCCTTTTGCATAGTCTCCAGATTTCATTGGAGAATGGCTAAGTAAGAACAAAATTATAGTTGTGACATCTTTTCTTCTTATACTTCTTTTCGCTCAGAAGATTATCTATATTTTGTTTATCTGTCATTTCATCCACATTATGAGGAATATGCACAACATCAACCATATTTGAAGCAATAAGGTCAACATCTTCCTCCAATACTGAAATGAATTCAGCAGTTAATAGATGCCTTTATTTTCATCTATCAGTCCCATAATGAGCAGAATTTTTGTAGAAGATAAATAATTACTGTTGAAACATTGTTTATTTAAAGATGCAACAATGCAAAATGAGACACTATCTCACACATCAATTAGATAATTACAACGGGAACGGAAATACAAAAAATTATTACATCTATTCCTCAACGATTACATTTCAATTGCATTTGGTCTATCATGTTCAGACCACATACTCGTTGCATAAATTTGTGTTGTGTAGACCAACATGGTCAGCAATAATAACCTCTGTAAGGACTAATAACAAATATTATTAATTGATAAAAGAAGGTTCAAGCAAATATGTTCAGTAAAAACTAGTGAAAACAAAATTGTTTAAATATCAAATTAAACTTTAATAGTGGTAGCACAATCCATTACATTATCACCAAGTTGCAAAATTCAACGAAGTCATGTTTTGGCTTGGAATATGAATGAAAAGTACCACTAAAACTGAATCAAATACATTCTTCTTAGTGGGTGAATTTATAATGAATTATTTCTTTTCTTTTTCAGTCCCCTTCTTCCTCCTTCTCCTTCCCTTCTCCCTCTCTCCTCCATAGTCTCTATTTTCTCTTCTCTCATCTCTCCCTTCTCCATTACTGTCCCCCATTTCTCTGTCCTTCTCCTCTTGTCCCCTTTCACCCCCTCCCTCTCTGTCCCTTCTCCCCTACTGTCCACTTTCTCCCTCTCTGTCAGACTCGCCTCTCTGTCCTTTCCGCTCTCTGTCCACGCCTTTCCTCTCTTCCTTCTCCCTCTCTGTCCCCTTCTCCTCTCTGTCCTTTCTCTCTCTGTACCGCTTTCTCCCTCTCTGTCCTTTCTCTTCTCTGGTCCCCTTCCTCTCTGTACCAGTGATTCGTAAAATGATCTTAATGCT